GAAGGCCACATCTGCAGGAGCACAAGAAAAAATACAAGGAAGCATGATTGTTAGTTCACACACAGCATTGAATCATTACAGTAAAATACATCTCTTTTAACATACGAATAACTTTCTCACTGTCCCTTGGCAAGCACACATCTTGGCGAACACCCTAAACATGGTGAGTTCGGCCCAGGTGGGGGTTGGGTGTTCAAGATGGGGCAAAGGGTCTAGGTGGTTTTTTAAGGGGATTGGTGCAGGCGACTAGGGACAATATTGTAAATTCTGCCACCATTTTCCACAGGTGGGTTATCAAAGCCAATATTTCATTCCTGAGGGTAAGCAAGGGTGCATCTCTTGCACGCATGCGGCTTCAGACTGGGTCCCTATGCTGCTCACCTGTGTGCTGCTTTGGTCCCTGCACAAGTGATTGCCAGTTGGTGCGGGAAAGTTTCATACAATAGGGGAAGGAACAAAGCAGCTCTGCCAAGGAACCTTCAGCAGAAGTTTGGCGAGTACCTACACAAAAGTTTCCTGAAGATATCTCTGGAGGATTCCCGTGAAATCTCGGTGTGCATTAACACACAGTTCCACCACGCTGCTTAGCTGCACAGGGGAATGTATAGCACATTCAAACACAGCTAGTCTTGTACATTTCTATCCCTTTACTCATTTCTAGAATATACAGAACAAAGGACAGCTCTACCTCATATAACCAAGCAGCATCAACTCAAGAAGATCACTTACCAGAGCTCTCCTGTCCTGTATCATGCGCACCAGAGATGGACTGCTTGGACTGGCTAGACCCCTCCGGAATGGAGAAGGGGTCCTGACTCACTGTGCCATCAGATGACCCTGCCGTGTGGTGCACATCATCCTCCATCTCGACCTCCTCATCAACGACTTTGTTCTTGCCATTGAGTTCACTGTCCATTGCCTCCAGCCCCACCAAAGTATCCATGGGGCTCTTGGTGGTGGAGGTAGGATTGCTGCCAAGGATGGCATCCAGCTCCTTATAGAAGCGGCAAGTCTTTGGCGCAGCACCAGAGCGACGGTTTGTCTCCCTGTGCCTTCTGGTATGCCTATCTCTTCCCGAGCATTTAAAGGGGGAGGGGTGGATGCCTGTGTACCTGAGTGAAGGGCAGCAGAGTTCGAATTGCTGACGGAGCGGTCAGGATGAACATTGTGGGATATCTTCTGGAGGCCATTTACAGCGACATAACCAAGCGCAGTGTCTACACTAACACTTTGTTGATATAACTTAGCCACAAAAATCTCTCCACCTCTCATCGAGGTGATTTTATTTTATCGGCAAAGCAGGAGAATTTTGTTGGCAGATGGAGCATTGCCGTGTGTACACCTCTGCTGTTTTGTCAACGAAACCTGACTTTTGTCAACAAAACTGTGTAGTGTAAGCAAGATCTTAGTGCCTCTGCGCTTAGAAACTTCCTGATGACAGCTACCATCTCAGGGAAATGTGACCCCAACTCATGGGGGCCAATGGCAGAGGTGGTAAACCAATGTAATATTTAAGGAAATATTTTCAAGACAGTAAAATTATTTTCATCGTTAGAGTGAAGAACTTAATTCAGCAGTTTAAACTTCTGATTTTGGAACAACTAGACTCTCTGCAATCATAGGTTCAATACCTGATCAAATTAACTCACCCCTTCTCTGTGCCAAAGTACATAAATTTGCTCTTGTACCCTTTGCTGTGGGAAACACCTTATTTTTTAGAAGGTCCTGTTTGCTCTGCATTAACATTACAGACCCCAAGCCATTTTTTTGTAAATGCAGTTGCACCAGTGTGTTTGACTAAAATGCCTTCTCCCCTCATTTTTCATTGTGATGTCAATCACGGTATCTAAGCTGTCTGTATCTTATGGATTTCCTTTATATATACCCATGTAAAGCATCTTGGAATGTAAGATGCTATGTAAATATCAAATATTGTTATTAAACCAGGCTAGGGACTGATTTGCAATCTGTCACTAGAACTCTGTATTTGCGGAGTCAGTCTTCAGCAAGATGGGGTCACCTGCAAGAGACTCCAAAATACCCAATTATAATTAGTAAAATCAACAAGGAGTCTGGTGGCACCTTAAAGACTAACAGCTGTATTTGGGCATAAGCTTTCGTGGGTAAAAACCTCACTTCTTCAGATGCATAGAGTGAAAGTTACAGATGCAGGCATTATATACTGACACATGGAGAGCAGGGAGTTATTTCGCAAGTGGAGAACCAGTATTGACAGGGCCAATTCAATCAGGGTGGATGTAGTCCACTCCCAATAATAGATGAGGAGGTGTCAATTCCAGTCCCTATTCAAGCCCAGATTAATGGTGTTAAATTTGCAAATAAATTTTAGTTCTGCTGTTTCTCTTTGAAGTCTGTTTCTGAAGTTTTTTTGTTTAATGATAGTGACTTTTAAATCTGTAATGGAATGACCAGGGAGATTGAAGTGTTCACTTACTGGCTTATGTATGTTACCATTCCTGATGTCCGATTTGTGTCCATTTATTCTTTTGCGGAGGGACTGTCCGGTTTGGCCAATGTACATGGCAGAGGGACATTGCTGGCCCATGATGGCATATATAACATTAGTGGATGTGCAGGTGAATGAGCCCTTGATGGTGTGGCTGATGTGGTTGGGTCCTCTGATGGTGTTGCCAGAGTAGATATGGGGACAGAGTAGGCAACGAGGTTTGCTACAGGGATTGGTTCCTGGGTTGGTGTTTCTGTGGTGTGGTGTGTAGTTGCTGGTGAGTATTTGCTTCAAGTTGGGGGGTTGTCTGTAAGTGAGGCCTGGCCTGCCTCCCAAGGTCTGTGAGAGTCAGGGATCATTTTCCAGGGTAGGTTGTAGATCGTGGATAATGCGCTGGAGAGGTTTTAGCTGGGGGCTGTATGTGATGGCCAGTGGTGTTCTGTTATTGTCCTTGTTGGGCCTGTCCTGTAGTAGGTGATTTCTGGGTACCCGTCTTGCTCTGTCAATCTGTTTCCTCACTTCCCCAGATGGGTATTGTAGTTTTATGAATGCTTGTTTTTGTAGATACAGACTAACACGGCTACCCCCTGATACTTGACACCAATTAGTAAAATGTATTTCCAGAAAGTTAGTTTATAGATGTAAATTAATTCCTCTCACCATATGAAGTGTTTTGAGGAAAATGGGTGCAGTTTTCACTAAGGACTGACCAGGAGCAATTTCAAAGCAAATAACCAACTCTGCCCTACTTTTCTCTTTCATATCAACAGACTGTTACATTTCTTTAATAGTCCCATAGCAAGTGCATAAATGGCTCAGTCTGCATTTTCAGCAATGAGACTGATTAGAAATGCATTATCGCTTTCCCATCATTGTGGGTTGCTAGGTGTTAAGTTTGACCACTAAACATTAGTAAGAAAAGCTAGGTAAAATGCTTGAGGGTCTTCAGAAACCTCTGTTGTCAGTTTCCATATAACAATTCCTTCCTTTCCCCCCCCCCCCACTCCCCCCATTAATTAGCCTTGGCATTTTCGGATCTCTAATTGTGAGATGCTTCAAGCTGCAAACTTCATGGGGCTACACAGTGGGAGTGGGGATAATGGATAAGGAGGAGGGCCTACATATAGATTCCCGTTCATAAATAACGCCTAACAGAAGTCTTGGCAAAATAATATAGCTCTGTATCTAATATTAAGTGCTAAAGACTTATACCTGTCACCAGCAAAAAGTGAGATAAAGACAAGGCTGAAAGCTTGTAGTGTTGATCCATACAGTGGATTTAGGAAGGGGGGGTTAAGGAACATTTCAGTTTGGGTGTAGACTACAAGAAAGACAGTACATTTACGACAGATACAGGATTTCCCTCACTGCCTCTTTCTTTGTGCTTCTGGTTAATAAACATATTTAAATGCATCAGCTTCTCCAAGTACTGAAGTGGAAAAAACCATGCTTCCAAACAGGCTCTGCATTGCTGGATAGCCATTCCATTACTTCATTATTTAGTTTCTTTGGGCTGCTTAACACAATATTTGCCTGAAAGGGTTTGATTTTTTTTTTTTTAACCTTACTCATTTTTCACACTGTGTTAGCATGAGCTATCCTTCAGTATGCTATGTGGAAAACCAACACAGATAAACAAGTGTATCTTTAGAAGCCAGTGACAGTTAAAAATAAATAAATGAAAAACCTAAAGAAAAATGGGTGCTCTCTAGTCTCCTTTTGTTACAGAACATAAACACTTTAGAGTTGACTGCATTAGATTTGAAAGCTGATTTTCCCACAACAACAGTAAATACTAGAAAAGTAGACTAGAAGCTGTCAAATTCAAAGCAACAAGGGGTTGACAGATTGTTACCCCCAATACCCTAGCATCTGTATTTCTGGATATAATCATCTGCTCTGAAAGCACTTGAAAACAAGGTGATGAAAATTGGCAGGCATTTCTAGTGCTGTCTCCCTAGCACTCCTGCATGGAGTCTGCAAGCTAGCCAGGAATTCAGCAGAAAGAAATGTATTAATTCTCACCCACTCCACCTCAGCAGAGGTTTGAATTACAAACAGATCTCCAAAACAAAGAACAGCTTTTGCTTTTGTTACAGTAATAATAAACATTAGTTTTGTTGTGAAAAGAATTGCTTGAATTTAATTTTCTGTTAATTGCTACAAAATATCATAATTTTTAAAGCATACTAGAGGCAGTTAATCAGGTGTTATTGACCATTGGTTAAACTTACCCGGATCATTCCAAATCAGATGACTCAGCAAAAGAATGTGAGGTTATTTTCCCATTCCCTTCACTCCCCCCATAATAATGCAATTATTGATTCTGAATTCAGATTTAATACAAACGTTACTAACAACCCTCCGATTTAATGCATTGTTGGTCAAATATTCTTTTATTTTATTAACTTGCTGCTTGGAATGAGTTGGGCTCCAGTCAAAATCTTGAAGAACAAAGTCAGTCAGTTGCCTCCATAGAGGCACCATATCTTTGATGTGGTGTTTAAACATGTGACTCCTCTCTCTCATTTAGGTGATATACGTAATGACTTGTACCTGACACTAGAGAAGGGGGATTTTGAGAGAGGCGGGAAGAGTGTTCAGAAGAACATTGAAGTGACCATGTATGTTCTTTATGCAGATGGAGAGATCCTGAAGGTAAGCAAATAAGTTTGTTTCCATACTGAGTTACATCAATATCAACCTTCTTGTTCCATGTACATCTTCTCTTGCCTTCTCTAATACCCTGGAAAGTTTTGAATAAAATGATTTCCTTCAACTTTTTGGGCCTTTTGGGTTCTTTATTTACTTCTATGCTATGATAAAGAGATTCAACTACCAGGTTTGAATTAATTTAGGGCAATTCTGCTAGTGGGGAAATAATGGTAAACCTCTGAATTTGGGGACTTGGACAAAACATTAACAGTATGTGAAAAGCTAATTTAGTTAAAATTTTCACTCATAGTGGATCAAAACTCAAGAATTCCATGCCAGTGATGGGAGGGGAGAAGGGTGTGGCTGACTAAATTTGAGTGAATGCATTGTGCTCTGGTGTGTGGGATCACAGCACTGCTCAGGTTTGGCCCAGCTGCCCCTCTGTTAATGATGGAGGGGTGGCTGGGCCAAATGTGAATGGCACTGTAACCCTGTGCAACAAATCACAATGCTCAGAATGGGGAGCCAGGCCCAGCACCAGGGGAAGGAACCACTGCTGCAGGGTTTATGGGGCAGGCTCACAATTTTTAGTGTCTAGCAAAAGTTATGAAGTTAAGCTCCCAGGCTTGTCTTTTGAAAGTGTTGTGCAAGTTTCCTTTGAGGATGAGGACTGAATAGGTAGCTCTATATCTGACTGCATAGAGACACTGGATTTTTGGTTTATTAAAATAATCTATTACCCACTAACAACCCCCCCTTTCCTTTCCTCCTTTTGACTGGAGGGGTGTTAACAGACCATTTCATCTTGAATGGTCCCTTGAAATGTGTGTTAGCTGCTTATGCTAAACAATCTGTTCTACCTTGTATTTAGCTGTGACACTCTGAGTGAGTTTCCCAGACCTATAGAAGAGCTCTGTGTAAGCTCAAAAGCTTCTCTCTCTCACCAACCAGACGTTGCTCCAATAAAAGATATTACCTCACCCACCTTGTCTCTCTGATATCTGGGACCAACACAGCTACAACAACAGTGCATACAAAAATATGAGTAAGGATGATAGAATTGGGCTTTTAGGGAGAGATTGAGATGTCCTTAAAATTATTGTGTTGTCTCACTGAAGTCTGTAGAAGGCATTGTATTCAAATATGAATTATGTCCCAAGTCAACAAGTTTGGTGGTTTTAGTCTAATTTCAGTCTAATTTTAATGGAAATTTCCTCACACTGCTTTGTAATTTAGCACCCCTTATCACAATTTATCAGCAATTTATGTTCAGAATAGGCCATAGACCAGGAACAGCAAAATATATTTCGAATTGGAATTGTGGTGCTTTTACTGTGTGAGAGGAATTTGCGCAGTTCTGCTTAATTACTGTATGCTTGGAATAGAGCATTGCTATCAGTCTCTCCTCTCCATTAAGCACTAAAAGTTATTAAATTCACCCTATAATTAAACAAAAAAAACTTGGAGGAGAAAATGTCTGCATCCCACTGCGTAAGCAGCCTCAAAGAACTCAGGTGATCCTTCTGGGAAAACAAATATAAACACTGAAGATATTGGATCAAGCAGCTCTTCCAGAAACTCCTTACTATTAATGTTTACAATAAAAAATTATTAATCTTTAATGCATTCTTTTGCATTTTCTTTCCTATTATGTTGAATTATTGCATCTGAAGTTCTCTGGCTGACAGTGTCTTTGCAGCAGCAGCCTCTCCTTCTGTTTAATATCAAAATCCTATCTGACCTTGAGTGATATCTGCCTCACTCCTGATGGGAAATGGCAGGGATGTCACAAGTATACAATTAAAAGCCCACTTGCTCTAAATGCCCAAAATGAAGATTAACTAGACCATATGTATTAAGTGTAAAGTAAAATACCTTGAAATTTTGCCAATAGTTTGAAACAAAAGCAGAATGATTCTGAAAATAAAAGATAAAAAAATATTAATTTAGTGTCATACTGAAAACACGTAGGGTAATAAACCCATGTAGGTTTTTGGCAAATGGATGCCTAGACATCTTAAAATCTATTACAGAAATGAGACTATTAAAAGTGATAGATCTCATCATTCTCGGAGATCTTCACCTAAATTAAGAGGAAGACCTTGAATGCAAACTTTCTTTATCTAATTTTTACAGCGTTTTGGAGGCTGACACAAACTGGAAATCTAATGTTTGAGGAGCTGACGTTTTCTGTTTTTCTGGGTTTTTCTATAGATTTACAACACCAGTATACACTTAATAGGTCAACTGTCTTCTACAAAGACAAGGATATTAATGTGCAATGATAAGTTACCCCACTAAATTAACAGTAATCCCAGATGGCTGGTCTCATTTGCTTTTATTTTGGCAGATGAATTGGCAAAATTTTTACATCAAGCAGAAAACTCCACAGTGAACAAAGAGATGAGACAGGATTAGTCTCCAAATTGAATTCCGTATAGTGTGTTTCTGTTATGTGGTAGTGATTATTTCTGCATATTGGCATTTTTGAAGTGGTCTAAATTCAGTTCAATAGATGTTAAATTTGACATGTTTCATGCTGCTATTCTGAAGTTATAAACTATACAGATATTCAGATTAACGGAACCAGAGTTCTGCTTTCTCTTGGGGGCTATTATTGCACTAGGCTGGATATTTTGCTTTCTTGTTATTAGGTATGTCAGATCCCTTAGTCCATATTCCACAGTGTTTCCTATTTAGGAATCCTCAGTTGTTGTTAATCAGTTCCTTTTTGGACAACTCTTTGAACATTTGAAATGCTGTATAACATTCTTTTGAATTTTGGGTCAGATCCTCAGCTGGTGTAAATTGAAATATCTCCATTGTTTTCAGTCAAGCTGTGTTGACTGATACCAGTTGAGAATCTGGCCTTCTATGTTTCAATTAAATATTTGGTCTGAGCTGAAAAACTCATGAGCTTCTTCGTGCATTGAGCACACAATTTCTCCATTTTGAGGGTGTGTCCACTTGAATTCATCTGTTTGGATTGTAAGTTCTTTTGGGCAAGGACTGTCTTTTGCTATGGTATCTGTTTGTACAGTACCTAGTACAATGAGGCCCCAATCTCAGTTGTAGCCTCTAGGTGCTACTGTAATATAAATAATAACAAAAATATGGGTCGATATTGAAATGGCCCATCCTGTTGAAATGAGGATGCTCAGAGAGCTGGGAATATATTCAGTTCATCTTACTTAGAATCAATGTATGGCCCATGGTTCAGCTATGCATGCCAACATTACATGTTAACTAGTTTTATAGATTTGGCACATTTATTATTATTGATGTATTCAATAATAGTTATGATTAAAGTTTCTCTTTTTCTTAATGAAATCTTTTAGAGTATTTCCTTTGTTGGATGATAGTGAGGTCATGTAAGGAACTAGGACAAAGGTTCAGATATCACAGATTTGAGAGGTTAGAGACACATATAGATTGTTAGGTAGATTTTTTTTTTATAAGTGACTGATTTTAAAAATATATCATTTAATTTCAAAGGTATCCCAAATCCAAGTAAATAAAAGAGCATTGGGTCCTCCTCGGAGAAGCCAGGATCACAAATAATTTTCTTACAAGAGGTGCACCTAATTTTGTACGAAATTACAAGCAAGAATTGATGTGTTAAGTAGATTGAATGACAATGATTTTGATATATGGGCACTTCAGTGTTAAGTCTCTTTTGAGAAACAGGATATAGAGGCCATTTTATTGTAGTGGAGGGAAAAGTAGATGAGATGGAATTGTTATTAGTTAATATGAATTCCTATACTTTGAATGCTTCAGGAACTGGCACCTTACAAATAAACTCTGTTTTTCTACTATATATAGAAGCATGTGATATAACAATAAGCACTTATTAACAAAATTATTGATCATTGTGACAGAGTCAAACCTCACAGCTATAAGAGAGTGGTGGAAGACATGTGTATCATTCCTAGAATGGTGAAGGCCCTTTTTCCTATGAACTGAAAAGACGTTACCTCAGGTTAATTAGAGACACGTGAGTCCAATTAAGGGGCTGCCGGTGACCTTTAAAAACTCTTCCTCCAGTGAGAGAGTGGGAGGAGGGAGAAGAAACAAGCTGCAGCGGGGTTAGGGGCAGCAGGAAGAAAAGGGTTCTCCTAGGTGAGAAGGCTGGTCTCCTCCTTACACAGGAAACATTGAATTTACATCTGTTTTGAGGAAGGGCTAGTAACCAGAAACCAGCATAATAAGTTAATACTCTAGTCAGGGATCAAGGAGATGGGGTTCTTTTCTATTATAGGGTTCTCTTGCTTAAGAGAACTACTCTAGCCTACCCTGAGCCTGACCTTGTAAATATTGTAAATAAACCAAAGTTAAGAACTTAAAAACTTCCAGAGTAGGACTGACTTACTCCAGCCCTGCCTCTGCCGCCACAGAGAGAAATGCTGAGGCTGACGTGGCAAAAAAGGTGCCTTGCCACATCATATACAGAAATCTGCTGTATGGGTGAGGTGACATGTAGAAAGAGAGAAACCTCACCTTTAATCTTAGTTCCTCCTGAGCTGCTGACAGATTGGAAAGTCCAATTCCTCCACTGATTATGGTCACTCACTAGTTGTTGTGGTACTTCATCCCAGCTGATGCCAGATCATTCAATGTCCTCTGGCACTGTTTTCTGTCAATTCTTCCTTGACCTTCCTCGCTTTCTCTTTCCTTTCTCAGATACCCATTTCAATACTTGCTTAGCATGTCTCATCTTCCATATGGTATATATATCCCAGGCAGCTGACCTGTCTTTCTTTGATGATATTTTATAACATGTCCTGCTCTCTCAGCTCCCTTACTCTTATATTTGTAATTTTGTCTTTCCATGAAATATTCAGTATTTTCCTCCACCATCTTTGATGGGAAGCCTCCAATCTCTTTTTGTTAGCCACAGTCATTGGCCATGTCTCTGCTCTGTACAGAAACAAGCTCAGTACAATCGCATGGTTTAATCTGACCTATCATTTGGTGTGAAGGTCTGTTTGACCAAATTTGGTCATCCTTCCAAAAGTGGTGTTTGCTTTTCCTAATCTTGTGCGAATATGTTTATCACAGCCACCTTTGAATGACATCACACACACTCAGGTAACAGAACATTTCTAGCTGTTCAATTTCTTTTCCATCCATGTACACCTTTGTATCTGTTGTCCAGTTTTCTACTTTCATAATATTGTTTTTTCTCTGCATTTATTTTCAGTCCAAATTTTGCTGCTTCCTGTTCTACCTCTGATGTAAGGGCAGTCATTCCATTCCACTTCATACTTAGGGCTGGTCTACACTATGGCAGTAAATCGATCTAAGTTATGATACTTCAGTTACAACGTAGCTAGATCCACTTACCGCAGTGTCCACACTGCGCTGTGTCGATGGGAGATGCTCTCCCACCGACTTCCCTTATGCTTCTTGGCAGAGAGGTGGAGTAGACAAATCGATCGGAGAGTGCTCTCCCATCGATTTAGCATGTCTTCATCAGACCTGCTAAATCGACACCACTGCAGGGATCACAGCAGTGCTGATTTAGCCAGTAGTGTAGACCTGGCCTCAGTAAAGCAATGTTGTCGGCAAAGTTAAGGTTGTGTAACTAGTCTCTGCTAACCAATTTTACACCGTCCATGATGCCTTGTGTTGCTTGCTTCATCACCCAATCTACCACCAATGCAAAGAGGATTGATGATAACACACACCCTTGTCTAACTCCAGACACAATATTGAACCATTCACCCAGGCCTGTATCCAATCTTACTGCATATCTACTTCCATGATATAAACTCCTTATAGTGCTGATCAGTTTATCTGTTATATCCTAGCTTCTAGCAATATTAAGAGAGATTATACTGTATATATTATTGTAGTGCCTAAGAGCCAACCCAATTGTTGTAGGCACTGTAAAAATACACAGTAGTAAAGAGTCCCTGCCCCAAAGAGTTTACAGTCTAAATAGACAAGACCGACACAGGGCTGGGGAAGAGGGTATAATACACAAGCAGCATGAACAGTGTAATGGCAGCAAATGTCATATGTTACATGATTATATTTATTTATTGAGGGGTTACTTAGAAGGAGATAAGCTAAATATAAAGGGTAGGGAAGGAGAGTGAGGCTGATAGGGAAGGGGGTAAGGTGAAGAGACTGCGAAGGAGGGAGAGGGTTGGAGCTAGAGCCCTGCAACTCTACAGATATCCACCTTATATCCATGGACCATTTTTGCAGATCGTGGATCAAATGCAGATACAAATTTTGTATCTGTGCAGGGCTCTCGTTGAAGCAAACAGCCAGTCAGCATAGGGCACTGAAAATCCAGTCAAAGTTTTAGAAAGTTGACTGAATGTCCAGTGGTCCCTGCTTTGGCTGCTTTTGTTCCTTCTGGCTGGTTCCTCTCTGACGTTTTACCTGGGGGGGGGGCGGCACTTGAGTCCTAGTGCCCCCAGAGTATTCTGTTACATTACAATCTCATAGACTTTAATGTCAGAAGAGACCATCATGATCCTCTAGTCACCTCCTGCACATTGCAGGCCACAGAACCTCACCCACTCACTCCTGTAACAGACCCCTTACCTCAGGCTGAGTTACTGAAGTCCTCAAATCATGATTTAAAGAGAATCCACCAATTACGCTATTTTAAACCTGCAAGTGACTCTTGCCCCATGCTGTAGAGGAAGGCAAAAAAAGCTCCCAGAGTGTCTACCAATCTGACCCGGGGGGAAAAATCCTACCCGACCCCAAATATGGCTATCAGTTTGACCCTGAGCATGTGGGCAAGAACCACTAGCTAGACACCTGGGAACGAATTCTCTGTAGTAACTCGAAGCTCTCCCCATCTAGTGTCCCATCACCAGCCATTGGAGATATTTGCTGCTAGCAGTCACAGATCCACTTCATGCCGTTGTTGTCAGTCTCATCATACCACCCCTCCATAAACTTATCAAGCTCAATCTTGAAGCCAGTTAGGTTTTTTGCCCCCACTGCTCCCCTGGGAAAGCTGTTCCAGAACTTCACTCCTCTGATGGTTAGAAACCTTTGTCTAATTTCAAGCCTAAACTTGTTGATGGCCAGTTTATATCCATTTTTTCTTGTGTCCACGTTGGTGTTTAACTTAAATACCTTCTCTACCTCCCTGGTATTTATCCCTCTTATGTATTTATAAAGAGCAATCATATCTCCCCTCAGCCTTCTTTTGGTTAATCTAAATAAGCCAAGCTCTTTGAGTCTCCTCTCATAAGGTAGGTTTTCCATTCCTTCTATCATTCTAGTAGCCATTCTCTGCACCTGTTCTATTTTGAATTCATTCTGTTCTGTTCCTTCCATATAAATATTTCAAATTGATAGAGAAGTTCAAAACATTAAAAGGGGGGAACCTACCCCACACAAAAAATAAAAAATCAATAATCCAAATACTGGGTTACTATTTTCCTGGGGGGGGGGGGGATGGGGGTAACATAAACAAAATCAATTTTTCTTGGAAGTTATACTTGCAGATTCTTTCAGCTGTTCTTTTTCTGCTTTGTTTTAAGATGTATGGTGTAGTCAGAGCTTCCAGGTTGCTTTGCAAGTGTCCAGCCCAGTGCATGCACTTGTGCTTTACCTTTTTGTATATCTGTATTTCAATACAAACCCTGGAGCAGTGGTCCCCAACTTCTTTGTGGCCAGTAGCACATTCATGTTTTCAGAAGAGTGTGGTGGGCGCCAACAATTTTTCAATGCTTATTTTGTATTTGTACATTAAATACAAAAAACATCATATTTAATATTACATAATATATGAATCCAGAGAGAAGCCGTGAGGACAGAGAACACTGGCGCCCGCTAATAATATATAATGTATAGATTAGTCAAGACTACCCTGGAGTTTTTTAGTCCCCAAGAGTGGGAATCCACTCTGGTATCTTTAGGTGGTAATTATTAACCTGAATGTTCTTTGCTTGCCATTACTCAGTGACATGAAATAAAATGTTCTGTCTAAGGGCACTGGGGCACTGGCATTTGATCTCAGAACGAGGCCGTATGTCCAGTGCTTCAAAGAGCAAAAAAATTTGAGAGCTCAGAGAGTTCTTCACTGTATCACATTAGTGAGCTGAGACCCAAAAGTAGGAATCTGGCTAAATGATGTTTTCAGAGAAGCCTAATTACAAGTGAGTAATTATCTGTTACTGCCCATTTTTTCCTTCTGGTCTCTTTGTTAATATATATCCTGTACTTACTTGATACAAAGGTAAAACTAAATAATAATCTGAGGAAAACAGAAAGCAAACAAATCCTGTTTGAATGCCGCTTGAGACACAGGTCCCAGAGCTATACCTCTGATCCAAAGCACAGTCTAAAAATCTGCCTTCAAAAAACTTCAGATTCCTTTGCATCCAGGATTCTCCTTCTATCTCTGTCCTTGTGTTTGCAGAAGGGTATGACTTATACAGAGGAAAAAAAAGACACTAGATTTCAGTAACCTCAGCATGAGGCTCACACAATGTAAAAAAATGACTTGTGTAGCAGTGTGATGTCTTTTATTCTTTCTTTTTTGTTTTGTTCCAGGACTGTATCAGTTTGGGCTCAGGAGAGCCAAACAGAAGTGCATACCACTCTTTTGTCCTCTACCACAGTAACAGCCCTCGTTGGGGGGAAATTATCAAGCTACCCATCCCCATTGACAGGTTTCGTGGGTCTCACCTTCGCTTTGAGTTCAGGCATTGCTCCAGTGAGTGCAACATAATCCTTTGTCCAAAACAAATCTAAAAATGTTGATTTCTTTCCATTACAAGTAGAGGATTAAAATGCTATGTCACTGGAAGAGGGAATCTTAAAGTACAATAAGTACAGTGTTAAGGATCCTGATGCTATCAAGAGTTGTTAGAGAATAGAAAAAAAGGGTCTAAATTAGAACATACAGTTCAGGACAACAGACTCCCATATTATTTTCCTACTGTGTTCTTTGACATATTGTCTTTTCAAGTTGTGCATATGATTTACTCTGGTCAACACAATCTTGATAAAAGCTTGTCTGATTTACATTTGTAGAGACTAATTTTGTGGTCAGTAGCATAAACTGAGACCTAGTACAGTGTGTGTATCTATCTATCTATCTATCGATTATAGATAGATGAATCCTGATGTGGCTTCGTGCATTGGTTGTTAGAAATACAGAGAGGCTAAGGAGTGAGTGTGTAGTATAGAGAGTGAGGGGGGAAAATATACACACTCACACTTGCAGCATATGCAGAAATGTTTCTCTATGTTCTTTATTTCCTGTTGCAGCTAAAGACAAAGGAGAAAAAAAGCTTTTTGGCTTTGCATTCACTCCTCTGATGAGGGATGATGGCACCACCCTATCGGATGATATCCATGAGCTTTATGTTTATAAGGTACCATAGCTCACAACTCTTCTAATGCTGCACTGCAGATCTGCCACCTATTTATCCCTACTTCAGTATAGATATATTTGAGTAAATGTCATTGCATTTCTGATAATGCTGTTTTTCATTACATGAGGAAATAGTGATAGGATTCTGAACCTATTTATAACAGATCCCAATTTATAGGACTTGGTATAGATGGGTGTCATTTTTCAGGTACAATTGATTTTCCCCCTCAAATTATAATGACCTTTGTTACTCCTCTCTGGTTTTAAATTCAGTCTCACTAGTATTCATAACCACCCAAGAATGCTATGAGGGTATGTTATTACTATACGCTTTTATGCTCTGAAAACATGCTGTTATGGACTAGACTAGTAATGTGAGACACCATAATCCTGCTCGGCAAAACTCTAGCTGAGTAATTTTGTCCTTACAAGGTTACCCTAGTTTTTTCCTTCAGTGTATATATATAGCTCTCAAACAGATACATTACATCTGGAAGATTCTTAAAAGTTCTGAAGGGATCCGTGAGTGGGAGACCACATTTTCTTAAGCACAGGTGACTTAATGTACTGTACCTGAGGATGACAAGCATAGGTTTCTGTGTATAGATTTTCTGTGCACTCAGAGGATCGTACAATGGCATTCTGATTTATGACTAAGTATCCTAGGTGCTATGATAATACAAATAATAATTCAGGCTAGCAAGGCATGAATGTGTGGAATAAAGTAAATCAACTGGGTAAAATTTAGTTTCCTTTCTGTATCTGCAGTGTGATGAGAACAGCACATTTAATAATCATGCTCTGTACCTGGGGCTGCCCTGCTGCAAAGAGGACTACAACGGCTGCCCTAACATCCCTTCTAGCCTCATTTTCCAGCGTAGTACCAAAGAGACCTTCTCGATCTCCACCCAGCTCTCCTCCACGAAACTCACCCAGAACGGTACCATAACTGTCCCTTTTGAAAACAAGGCCATTGAAACATGTTCTGTTTTTTCACTATAATGTTCCCTTTTTCTATGGGTTAATGTTAGCTGTGCTTATATTTACTAAGCTCCATTGCTACTGGAATGAGTAGAGAAAGGGTTTTTTAAGGAAATGAGCATACTAACTTGTAACAGAGATAGTAGGTATATTCTGTAAATAGAGGCACAAAAGCTAGGATAAAACATTGTTAATTCTGATTAAACTCATGAGAATAATAAATTCAAAGTTAGCTTGTTTACTCAATTCTAAATTAGCTCTGTTGGGCTTTGCATTGAAGGTTTCTGTGATCAAGGCTTGATGTTGCTTACTTCAAGTCCTCAGGGGCACCGAAGGGTGAAATGTGACTGCCCACAATGCAACATCAAGACAAAATGAGGAGAGATACAACCTTTACTTTTTAAACACCATTCATTTCTTTGGCATTAATGTAACATATGTTTCTGGGTTTACTCCTTGGGTTTTCTCTTTGAGGTGAGGAGTAATTCATGGAACAAGTATCGCCTCTTCAATCGCTATCACATCTTGGGGGTGGCTTTCTTCCTACCTTACTTGTTTATAAATTTTGACTGGTTCTGGGTGTGTTTCTAACCCACAAGCTTTTGTTATGGGAAGGATTCTTGAACTGTTGTTAACTATTTTAGAGGCTTCACTTAAACTTATACCGTGTTTCAGTCTTTCATCATATTGCCTGAAAAGCAGGAGAGAGACCACAGACAAGATCTAAACGTGCAGTGGAAACAAACATTTCTTTCTTTCTTTTAGTGGCCAGTCTGGCCCTCTATAGTTGTCATACTGATTCTGAACGTTAGTATCCCAGCCATGTACTGCCTGTACTAGACATTCTTCAGTGTCCTTGTGCTTTACAGTATATCAGAGTGCATGTTCCTTTCTTGTGTCATTTTGCAGTGGACTTGCTTGCCCTCTTAAAATGGAAGGCTTACCCAGACCGTGTAATGGATATCCTAGGAAGACTGAGGCATGTCAATGGCGAGGAAATTGTTAAGGTACTGAATCAACTAATGGTCACTCTTACTGATGGAAAAATTATTTTTTATGATAATGAAGTATTTGAGGGAGCAAACCAGAAGAGGCCTTCCTGTGATTGACTCTCTGCTGTCAATTTTTAAAGTCCAGATAATATGACTGTTATCTAAGATGTTATGTACCTGGTATTTTTTAGGGGGCTCAGGGTTTTGTGTATATATATTTTCAGTGTATAGATAAGGAAAAATCATGTTTCTGCTTTATTCCTTGACCAAAAAAAGTTAAAGATTGAGATAATGTTGAACATTACACATTAATCTATAACAGCATTAGAATGTTGCAGTTATTTAATACATTTGAAAGAGAATTTAGACAAGTTTAAGAAAATAAATGTATGAAAGCTGGGAATTTAAAACACTGTAATTCAAAAATCCTAAACTCCAGAAACACACAGTAAATCCATATTATCCCTGCCAACTACAGCTTCTTCTTGGAGTTATTGTCCCAAAGGGGCTCCACTTTACACAGGCACACATCCAGGCACTTTTGATCAGAGATTTTTCACCAGCAGTGTCCACATGTCTGTGCCTGCTCCCTACACATCCTCGTGCTCTGGACCAATGGTATATTAGCGAGGAGCGGACCCACTGCAGCTCCAGTTCCTTTTCAACCACCTGTAGCTAGAGAGGGAGCATTGTGGTGTCTGCTAGCTTAGCATACCTAGCTGACCATTTATTTTATTATATTTGTTTCTTCTTGGTACAAGCTGTGCTTTTGGAGGTTCCCCCAACCTTGTTTTTCACAGCCTCTGCCCTTTGACCTCCTTTGTCTGCAGCCTCCTTCCTTGGGCTATGCCCAAAAACCTGGATTTTAATCCCTATCAGACCTGCCACTGGTCCTTCCCCTTGGCAACAGGCATTCTGGCTGCCTCAGAGAGTCCCATGTCCTATCAAAGTGTAAGGTCTGCTCTGGCTTCAGGAGCAGATCCAGGAAGCTGAGAGAGGACAGACTAAAGTTACTTCTTATGGAGCAGTCCTTGAGAGCCACCATCATTTCAGGGTCCAACTCTCCGTGCATACATTGGCATCAACCTCTCAGAGCATTCTGATGACGACTTTGGCTCCAGTGAGCAGAGAAAGGGTAGCTTCAGAGAGTTCAAAGCCCTCTAAAAAGAACAGACATCACTACCCCATATGTGGCATCTAAAAGAAGGGGAAAGTCACCCCAAAGGCCAGGGATTGAGAAGGCAGGATGGGTACAACTAGGCTTCTACCTCCTCTGGTATCAAGATGTTGGTACTCATGAACAAGACTTCCAGCACACATACTGAGAAGTCTTAGGACAAACAGCCCTGTTCAGCACGATTGTTGGTACCCTTGAAGCCTTCCAACCCAAGGACTTGAAGAAACTGCCACCGACCCCAATCCAGGCACCCTCTTCAGGCTTTGTGCATAAGGAACATATGGACCACGCATCCATGCTGTCTCCAGTACCACTCAACTCACCTCAGCCTGAGGAGCAGTGTCCAGAATTGCTGATACCAACCAGTTTCCTCTATCATGAGGCTCTCTGAGTCACATCCTGAATCCGCTGTACTGAGAGGTACATGGGGATTTCCTACCGGTACCAATGTACCCAGCTGTCCTGACATACTTCCCAGCTTCTGTGCACCTGCACACTAAAAGTCAGCCACTGGTTCCAACTCAGAATCCAGTACCAACACAACCATCAGTACTGACATGACCAACAGTACCAACACTCCTAGCTCCTCTGTTAGATACAGGGAGGCAACACCTCCTTGGACTCAGACATTTCTGTCCAGGATTCCACCACATTTCCATTCCAACCTCCCTCTCCAGCAGTGTACTGTAAGGACAAGACCCCTGGAACGAGCCAACTTCCAACTTGCCAACCTTGGGAGGAGAACCCTTACGGTCCCTTCCCCTTTCCTTATACACCTCCACAATGGGCTTTCTGGAACCCATGGGTTTCTTATGCTGACTAATTTTATAGAATGCTCTCACAGAAGAGGACTTATCAAGAAAAGCAGGCACTGGGACCCTATTCTCCAGGAAGACCCTTTGAAAGAACAAGAGCTAAGGGAAGAAAAGGAGGCATTACCTTCCAATAAATCATTTTCCTCCAGATGTAGCAATTATGCCCCTTTCCCCTATCAAAGTCTTTCAAGAACTAAAGAAGAGAGTGACTGAGAGTTTACAGATTCCCCTAAAGAGGATACAGGAACCCCAGCATACCTTGCATACTTCTACTCCAGGCAGGATAACCCTGGCCATTTGGAAAACACTGGCTGCCATCCTGCCTACATGCAGGAGTGCTGGTAAAAAGTACTATGTGCTGGGCACGGGCTCAGAGTACCTTTTTCTCCCACCTCTCCCCAAACTCTCTTGTGATCAACGTGGTTAATGAGAGAAACAGGGGCTGTCCAAATCAGCTGCTCATGACCAGGATCTTAAGCACCTGGATCTCCTTGGCTGCAAGAGTTACTCTTCAGTTGAACTACAATTCAGGATTGCCAACTATCGTGCCTTGTTGTCAAAATAGGACTACACACATTATAGCAAGTTCTCTCATTTTATTGATCACTTGCCTCAGGACCAGAAGAACCAGTTTCAAACCATCATCTCCAAAGGCCAGATGTAGTGAGGCGGTGTGGCTCCCCGCCGCCCCGGAGAGGGACGAGCCCTTCCGGACACCGGAGTGGGCGGAGCTAGGGAGCTCTGAGCCCGCCCCTCAGAGGGTCAGGCGGCACCCCAGAAGTACAAAGGCTCGACCTCAGAACTCACTGGAGAGACAGCTGCCGGGGAGGCCAGATGCCTCTGGCCTGGCCTGCGACTGGGAAGCCCCTGCGGCCCTAGGTGCACCCAAGGACTGGCCTGACCTGCCCCTCGCCCACTACCCGGAGGAGTTGCCAGGCCTGCCCCACGCCCACTACCCAGAGGAGTTGCCAGGCCTGCCTCTCGCTAGCTACCCCGAGGAACCCCTGGTGCTGGACCCCCTGGAGGACACCACTGTGACCCAGGTACCACCAGAGGGGGAGTCTGGAAGTAGCTCAGGGGCAGCCGACCCTGGTCTGGCAGCAACACTGCCAGAGTCCATTTCAGTGTGTTGCGGCCAGGATCCCCACTGACACAGCAGCAGGTCTTCTGCCACTGCTAGGGCCCCGGGCTGGGACGCAGTGGAGTGGGAGGGCCTGCATCCCCCCCTGCCACCCAACTTGTGGGTGGCAGTCTCCCCCTCTCTCAGGTCCTTTGGAGGCCTGGACTCATTGCTACTGTTTGCATTGCCACTGCTCAGCCCTGCCTGAGGGCCTGAGCACCTGACCCACTGTTGCCCTGCCCTGACCTAGGGCCCGGGCTTACTGTGCTTATTTCAGTTGCTGCAAGGGCCGCCGAGGGAGACTCCCACGGCCGGACTAATTCCCCCAAGACATCAACAGTGTATAGTGAGGCAGTGTGGCTCCCCGCCGCCCCGGAGAGGGATGAGCCCCGGCTAACCTCTTTACACCAGATGATACCAAAGCTTCTTTGCAGGCCTCTCTCGATGCTGCTGGTACCAACCAGCCTCTTGTTCATTTTGACCATTTGGTCACAAATCACCTCACTATGGATCCTATGGTGCACCACCCTGCCCAACTGCTACTCTGTGATGTACATCTCTCCCAGAATACATCAGATCAGACAGATGGATACTTGAAGTATTATAGTCGGGTTACACCATCCTGTTCAGCCCCATTTCCTCTTCCTCATCCCTTTTGAGCAATCCTTCTCACATGGGGTGTCCTAAAGCAAGAGGTAGAATCTTTCCTGCTGCTGTTGGGCAATTGAACAGGTTCTTCACAGTTTCACCTAAAAAGGCTTCTACTCCAGGTACTTCCTGGTTCCCAAGAGAAAAGGGGAATGGAGACTGAACCTGGACCTCAGGTCTCTGAACACTTTCAAAAAAATTGCAGAGATTCAGGATGGTATCCCTAGCAGTGATAATTCCATCATTAACTCGTCATTAATTGATTTATGCCTCTTCCTATATTCCCTCAGTCCAGACCATGACTATGCATAGGGTGCAGGTGAGACCCACAGATACTGCTGATGAAAAATCTCTGATCAAAAGCTCATGGGCACGTGTGCACCCATAGGGACAAAACATCTCGAAGCACTCCAGTTTCTGTACTGGTAATTAACCCCTCCTTATCCTCCTCTTACTCTTGCAACATGAAAGAAAGGAAACCTTCTTTGTTATGTCTATGAATTAAAATAACCCGGATGGTCTTTTGTTATCTGATTATATAACCTGCACCTATCATTTTGGCCTGTAAGAGCTATGGGAGAACTCTCAGGTCTAGTCTGCTGGGGGTCTGCAGCCTGTGTGTTCAGGATGAATGTGTAAAAACTTGATTCCTGTCTGTAATTGTAAAAGGGGTCTCTGGCCATTATTGTGTTTGGGGTGAATGTTGCCGTAACTTATGATTTCCTTGTTTTTTAGTATTTGCATTGTTGTGAGAAAGTACAGCTAAGCAACCTTACCTATAAATTAACCACATTTTTTGTGTGGAAATATTGAAAAGGTGGCTGTCTCTGAACTCCCTTCCTAAATAAGCAAGAATACTCAAAAATTCATTAGTTGCATGGAGGCAATGATGGAACTGAAGCTCCAGTCGACAATTTGATTTCTGAGCTAAATATACAGCTCTTTTTGTTCACAAAGCAACAACCTCGTGGCTATTAGTTATGAATGACAAACCTCAAAAATTTCAGCATTTGGATCTGAATAGGCTCAGAAAATGCCAGATGGATAATCAAATTTATTTCAACTTTTTAGGTCTCTTTTCTTCTATGTCTTGCTCAGATCCTTCCCTTCAGAGCAAGTAGATCATTCTCTCTTACCATGACACCAACTGCTTAACAATCTACAGGAGGCCTTCTTTATCTCTCTCTACTTTTCCAAATCTCTCCTTAGTCCTCAAAATTAGAGCTGGTCAGAACATTTTTGACAAAATGTTTTTTCGTCAAAGTAAGCTGTTTCACCAACACTGAAATGTTTCACAGATATGTATGTATTTTGATGAAGTTTTTAACAAGAACATTTCTGAGGTCCAGGGTGGACTCTCTGGTCATTTCCAGGGAGAGAGAGAGAGAAACCCCAATTTGAAAACCTGGCCTTTTCAATCCAAACATAGATGTTTAAATACAATTTCATTTTGCAAAAAAATTAAAAAGGTTTTGTTTTCCTTCCAATACAGAACAAAAACAAATTTTGGCAATCTCTATTGTGCTGAATTCCAACTCTTCTGTTATCTTACATGCCCCAGGCTTTTCCAGATCAAAGATGATATTTCAGAATACATTCACACACTTGTGAGCCTGGAGAAGGACACATGCATGCCAGATATGAAGAGAGTGGCTATCCCTTCCACTAGTTCCAGAAATGCAGAGAGCCCTTCCTGCAATTTATTTTGCAGAATTTAAGAATTGGAAGGAGGTGTGTTTGGGCTCTGGGATAGTGAACCCAAAAAAGTTGCCCACTTCAATAGTACTCATTTTTGAATAATGCTACGTATTGAATGTTGACTTATATGACTATGAGCAAAACAGGCCTACTCCTCCATGTCCATATTTGAATTTTTCACAAAATTCCATAATTTTGAGAATAAATTTTGTCTTCAATGCAGTACAGCAAGGATCTGCACAGGGAGAATTTTTCTTTTGGAAATCGTAAAAAATGTGTGGACTTAACATATTCCAAATGAAGTGTTGACTGACTCCCTTCTGGAATTCACTGCCATTTAGTGACAGCTGTATCTTTTTTTCGGGAACTTCATAAATCATTGTTTTGTTTTTCTTGTTTTTCCACATCAGAGAATCCGGTGGAATAGATTGCACAAAGCTAGCCTACAATGCCAGCTATCAGTTTCACCTATAGCTAGGGTGACCAGACAGCAAGTGTGAAAAATCGGGACGGGGGTCGGGGGGGTAGTAGGAGCCTATATAAGAAAAAGCCCCAAATATCCCTATAAAATCAGGACATCTAGTCACCCTATCTATAGCACTGTCACTTCGCTATCTTCTTCTCCAGTGGGTCCTATTTATTGAAACGGAAAGCAATGGGAGATCAGCACACTGAGCAGCCTGCCATGTCATGGACAAAAGGGGGTGGCATTGTATAGCTAAATTGTTGCACAGATACTTGATATATAATAAATTTTTAAAAGAAAACCTGAATCTCTGTCCTGTAAAATACAACCGTTTTGTACTAACCATGTCTTGAAACACTTACTGTTTACTGTGAATCAGTGGATGTGCTTGTATCAGATGTGGAATGCTATCTGACATGCTATTAGACTGCAGAATAGTGAACAGTTTTGTCAGTCTTGGGCAATACTGTTGATCTGCCCAGAGACATTGAAAGGCAAACACTATGTAAATTAAATGAAAATAGTTTGTAATAAAATATTTTTTCTGTTTTCTGTCATTTTCTTTTATAATTGTTCTTTGTAAAGGGAAGGGAGACATTCTTGGCAATAAGTAATTTTTCTTACACATACTATGGATGTGTAAGTGGTCTGTTCCTGCAGAATGCTGGTAAAGGCATAGGAAAGTATGACACATCTGAGAATAAAAGCAGTGCTATTGAATGTAAGCAGGGTTTGTAGATTTAAATTCTGTCTCTTCCTACCATTTCAGTTCTTGCAAGATATTCTAGACACGTTATTTGTGATTTTGGATGACAATACAGAAAAGTATGGCCTGTTGGTCTTCCAGTCATTGGTAAGTAACCCCATCCCATTAAATTAGTACTTTTCTTTCCCTGGTGGTCAGTATTTCCCGTGCTCTTATTACCTTACCACCATGCCTTATTGCTATTATCTTATTACCTTAAAACGTATGAGAGATTCAGCTGGAGGTTCTACACCTGTACTTTTTTGTAACGTTATTGGGTGCAAGGAGTAGGATAACCATAGCCAAAATATGAGGAGAGAAGGATTACATCGATCAGTATGGGAGGGGCAAACAATAAGTCAAAGAGGAGCATTTCCATTATCAGCATATGAAAAAAAGCATTAACATCTGATTGTTTCTTAGCCTGTTTAGCTTGTTCATTTAATCCGAGGTGACGTGCAGTTTGCTTTGTTATGGGTTCCCTTCTCTATCTTCCGCAGGTGTTCATCATAAATCTGCTACGTGACAGCAAATATTTCCATTTCCGACCTGTTATGGATATGTACATTCAGAAACACTTTGCAGGAGCACTGGCTTACAAGTAGGTTGTGTTTCGTCATCACTTCATACAGTAACACTCTCAGACTTTTGAGTCGTATGGGCACCAGAGTCATAACTTTTACAGTAGCAGAGTAAAAATTGTAGCATGACTTCTAAATCTAACCACAGAGAGAGGCTGCTGAATGTCATGCCAGTCCTAGTCCCAGTCTTAGCCTGCAGGGGCTAGGAATGCTGTGAAGTGAGGAAGCACTTCATGTCACTCAGCAGCAACCAATTAGAAGCTGTGTTGATTGATGGGCCCCACAGAGCATCTACCCTTCCTATACTAGAAGGATGCTGGCTACTTGAGGCCTGCATGAAACTTAAGCAGGGATCATGGAAATGATTCTTACATTTCTTATCGGGAGTGCATCTATTAGCACAAGACTAATAGCCTCCACTTTAGGGAGACAAATCACCTATTCCCTAATACCTTTTCCTATGGCTAGTTTCAAAGAAGAGGGCAAGTATTCAGATTAGATCAAGGTATGCTGTTCTGTGAGATTAAAGGCAGAATGTTCATTTCAATAGAGAATTAGAAAATTAATTTCCATTAACAGTCAAAAGAGTGGTGAGCCTTATTTTCCAGTATATTACAATGAAATGTTACTTCGTGAGTCAGATTTAGAAAGCAGTAGCAATTATCAGCCAGGATTGTAATCTACCTTTTTTCCAAATTGCTTCTTGTGCATAATTTAGTGGCTCCCAAACTGGATCAAAATAAAGTGAAGACAATAATCTTCCAGCTCCATCATTCTTGGTCCTGGTATTATAGCAGACTCAAGCTATAGTGTATTGAAAAAAATCTTAAATAGGTTACATTAAAAATGTTCTTTTAAAACAATTTGGAAACTGTATGCTTGGTATGGGATCACAAAGCACAGTGAAGTTCAGAATGATGAGAAAACAGTTTCACAATTTTTAATAATCAGTGTCATCTTTGATCTAAGGAAAATGTTATTTGCAGTTCTACTTTCTTCTGATAAGGTGGCATCTAAACAAACTTGTTCTTAAGCATATGTAATACCTCAGGGCATTCTAAACAGTCTTGTGCACTTTAGGAAATTAGATGAAGGTATTGTCTCTATGTTTTTACATAAGTTGGTCTCTTCCAGTTTCAAACAGTTTCTGAAAATTGCTTATCTATAAGAGCCTTACTCAGATTGCTTAGCCAAAGAGAAATACTACATGTATTTTATTTTCTGTAAACTGATTGTTTTCTTTGTTTGAAGTGATTTGTTATAACCCCTTTTTGATTCTTTGTTTCTTGCCATCTGAATTAATTATGGAGGGAGAGTTATTTTTTGGTGTCAGAAATTTTTTTTACATTTAAATTAATGTATATGTCATTACTGTAAAGTTGGTTGTTTAGACTAATATGCCTAATTATTAGAATTGAGTAACAAGAGAGCACATTGCATTTCTTGCTGTCTAAGGAAACAACTGCCAAGTCGTTTAAAAAAAAAACAAAACAAAAAAAACCCAGAAGGTTTCAGGGTAGGTCACTTTCAGTTAATTGCTTGATGTTTCTATCAATGTGTCTCCTACTCAGAGAACTGATCCGATGTTTGAAGTGGTACATGGACCGATCAGCTGAGCTTGTACGACAAGATCATATCCAGGAAGCAATGAGGGTATGTGTTTGTTGTAAATACCTGTATGTTCAATGTGGCTGTGGCTTCTACACAGCTGAGGCTGCTCTAAGGCACATGAAACCTGGTCTTGAACAGATTTCCAGTACTCATTTGTCCAGAGTAAATTTCAGCTTTTTGTCAAAAACTGCCCAAATTCTAATCTTAAGGTGCAGAGGGCCAGTACAAGGTCTATGCCTTCTTAACTCCTACCAAAACCCTATTTTGTGGATTTAAGTGGTATTTTTGTGGGGCACTGACCTTGTGCTGGCCCTCTGCACAGTAGTAAATTTCACCTTTATAGAAGTAACATTTTATAGTGATTAGAGCACAGACTGGGAGTCTGTAGTTCTGGTTTTTATTTCTGGCAGTGACACAGACTGGATGAAGCTCTAGAATATTTTAACAGTAAATGGACCTTTGAGTGGACCATGGTGATGACAGATACCATCCCATAGAACATAGACTCATAGACTCATAGACTTAAAGGTCAGAAGGGACCATTATGGTCATCTAGTCTGACCTCCCGCATGATGCAGGCCACAAAAGCTGACCCACCCACTTTCCCTTTACTCAGCTGTTGAAGTGTCCAGATCGTGATTTAAAGACTTCAAGTCGCAGAGAATCCTCCAGCTTGCGACCCCTGCCCAATGCTGCGGAGGAAGGCGAAAAACCTCCAGGGCCTCTGCCAATCTACCCTGGAGGAAAATTCCTTCCCGACCCCAAATATGGCGATCAGTAGAACCCCGAGCATACAGGCAAGATTCTCTAGCCAGACCCACATTTTACCAGCGATGGCACTTTATTACCTAATTGACTAAAATCACGTTATCCCATTAAACCATTCCCTCCATAAACTTATCTAGCCTAATCTTGAAGCCAGAGAGGTCTTTCGCCCCCACCGTTTCCCTCGGAAGGCTGTTCCAAAATTTCACCCCTCTGATGGTTAGAAACCTTCGTCTAATTTCAAGCCTAAACTTCCCCACGGCCAGTTTATATCCATTCGTTCTCGTGTCCACATTAGTACTGAGCTGAAATAATTCCTCTCCCTCCCTGGTATTTATCCCTTTGATGTATTTAAAGAGAGCAATCATATCCCCCCTCAGCCTTCTTTTGGTTAGGCTAAACAAACCGAGCTCCTCGAGTCTCCTTTCATAGGAAAGGTTTTCCATTCCTCGGATCATCCTAGTGGCCCTTCTCTGTACCTGTTCCAGTTTGAATTCATCCTTTTTAAACATAGGAGACCAGAACTGCACACAGTACTCCAAATGAGGTCTCACCAGCGCCTTGTATAACGGAAGGAGCACCTCCTTGCCCCTACTAGAAATACCTCGCCTAATGCATCCCAAGATCGCATTAGCTTTTTTAACAGCCGCGTCACATTGCCGGCTCATAGTCATCCTGCGATCAACCAGGACTCCGAGGTCCTTCTCCTCCTCCGTCACTTCTAACCGATGCGTCCCCAGCTTGTAACTAAAATTCTTGTTAGTCATCCCTAAATGCATCACCTTACACTTCTCACTATTAAATCTCATCCTATTATTATTACTCCAATTTACAAGGTCATCTAAGTCTCCCTGCAGAATATCCCGATCCTTCTCCGAATTAGCAATACCTCCCAACTTTGTGTCATCCGCAAACTTTATCAGCCCACTCCTACATTCGGTTCCGAGGTCAGTAATAAATAGATTAAATAAAATCGGACCCAAAACCGAACCTTGAGGAACCCCACTGGTGACCTCCCTCCAACCTGACAGTTCCCCTTTCAGTACTACCCGCTGCAGTCTCCCCTTTAACCAGTTCTTTATCCACCTCTGGATTTTCATATCGATCCCCATCTTTTCTAGTTTAACCAATAATTCCTCATGCGGTACCGTATCAAACGCTTTACTAAAATCTAGGTATATTAGATCCACCGCATTCCCTTTATCTAGAAGGTCCGTTACTTTCTCAAAGAAGGAGATCAGGTTGGTTTGGCACGATCTACCTTTCGTAAACCCATGTTGTAAACTGTCCCAATTACCATTCAACTCAAGGCCCTTAACTACTTTCTCCTTCAAAATTTTTTCCAAGACCTTGCATACTACAGATGTTAAACTAACAGGCCTGTAGTTACCCGGGTCACTTTTTTTCCCCTTCTTGAAAATAGGAACTACGTTAGCTATTTTCCAGTCCAACGGTACCACCCCCGAGTTTACAGATTCATTAAAAATTATCGCTAAGGGGCTTGCAATTTCTTGCGCCACTTCCTTCAATATTCTAGGATGAAGATCATCCGGTCCGCCCGATTTGGTCCCGTTTAGCTGCTGAAGTTTAGCTTCCACCTCTAATACTGTAATGTCATTCCCTCCTTCTTTATTCCCCTCTGTCCTGCTCCCTCTATTCCTAAGCCCTTCATTAGCCTTATTAAAGACCGATGCAAAATATTCATTTAGATATTGTGCCATGCCTAGGTTATCCTTAATCTCCACTCCATCTACATTCTTCAGCGGTCCCACTTCCTCTTTCTTTGTTTTCTTCCTATTTATATGGCTATAAAACCTCTTACTATTTGATTTAATTCCCCTCGCATGGATCAGTTGTCAATGAACAGTGCGTGATTTTGAAGGAAATCACAGCTTCCCATCCCTGTGTGTGAACCAGGGGAATAGTTTTTGTACTAGTTCAGTTCCACAGAAAACAAATAAAATGCTACCTTTTTACTACAATTATAGTATAACAGCAAGAACTCAAAGTCACCAAGATTAAGAGGTTTACTATAGAAAGACCATTGAATTTGGAATTCAGATGTTCACTAGGTGAAGAAACACAAACTTCTTTTTGAGTCGGCCTTTGTTGAACCCAGAGGAATGAAAGTTGGCTTAACTGATATGATCTATTTGAGAACCTTTCATCTTGAGCAGGTCCAACCTTTTTCAGCAGATTCTGGGACAGGCAAACAGAAATATGTCACCCTTTCTCATAAATGACATTTTCAGCTAGTATACACCTTCACATTTATGCTAATGCTGCTCAGATGTTTCAGTAATTGTGGAAAGAGAGAAACAAATTGTTTCTAAGGCTCTGACACAGATCAGGCTTTGAATGCTCATTTTCTTTTGAAGGATGGATAGTTTTATGTCAAAGGCCTATAAGGTCAAGGTCCGTTTGCTGACTTCACATTTTAGAGTTCATTGCTGTGTCTGCATCCTGAACATTAGCTTCAGTTCAGGAGCTATATAAAGCACCTGTATAGAGATGGACCATTATTGCTACCAGCATCATTTCAAGTTGCCTATGTAGCCTTTGGTAGAAGGTTTCACCAAGCAGTAATCCAACGAAGAGTCCACACTTCTGAGTTGCTACTTCTTTAAGTCCCTACGATCACAGGACTGGTATCAGACTTGAAGAAAATGTACTTTATTCCTGAAAAATTATTTTGTTTATTTCTTTGTACTAGTCTGACAGTCTTTCCCTTGCTTTAAATGTTCCCTACCACCTCCTTCAAGCTGTATTTCCAATCTTTTGTGCTTCATAGTGTCTGTGCTGTAAAACAGTAGGATTCATTGAGTATTTGAAGACTATAGCAGAGGACTTTGATGCCACACACACAATTTTGCCTTTGCCGCTTGCAGAAACTTAATTTCCAGTTAGGGACTGAAGTCCCTTTTGTCTCTGTTAATTGTCAGACAATGCCTCCAAGATAATAGCGTTCAAGAAAACAGACGGTTTCAGGGCATTTCAATTGATTTCTACTTCTCTAAGGGCCTTACAGTTTACAACTGTGATTATGTAGACTAACTGAGCCTCTAATGTTTAACATGATTTGTTAGTGTCCATGCACCAGCTTTTCTGCCATCACAGCCATGTGTTTGCATCCACAACTAGTGCTCTGCCTAACTCCATGAGGGCATTCTGGGCAGCCATTGCAGCAATAGCTGCCTGCCTCCAGAAGCATGGGTCTTTTTAAGGACCCCTCTTTTCATAGAGGATTATGGAACATCATATACAAATCCTATAATCCTCTTCCTTGGGTTGCAGTGGCCTTTCCCTTTTATGGAGAATTTCAAGTCACTTCACATTGCTGCATCCTCCAACTTCTGGAATTTGGTGGTTGACAGCCTGGAAGCAAAGCAGGGCAAAAATTGTAATACACTCAGAGCACTCTGTAAAGAAGGAAGATGCAAATGAAGAGGTTTGTTATATTTCCAAACTGGATCACGAGGAAAGTGGTTTCTGGGTCAGGTCAAATGTTATGTGCTAATGAGACAGTGTTGTGTAAATTAAAAGGAAGTTGAACTGTCCCATGTGATCAAGGTTACCACTGTCCCAGAGATAATGGAGGACTTTGAACATTGCGACTTCTCAAACTGTGCTGGGACTATTGATGAATCTCATTTCCCAATTCTTTGTCCTTAAAATCAGTCCACAGATTTCTACAAACATAAATCTTACTGACTGTGGCAAATCTTAGAGAGCAAGTCCTGGAGCTCACACTGGCTGACCAGGCAAGATGCATGATGTGAGAATGTTAAAGCATTCGGCTTGTGGCAGGCAGGAATAGTTCTTCTTAGAGTGCTTGCTCATATCGATTCCAATTAGGTGTGCGTGCGCCACATGCACGATCGGAAGATTTTTACCCTAGCAACACTCGGTGGGTCAGCTGAGGCGCCCCTTGGAGTGGTGCCTTCACGGCGCCGGATATATACTCCGGCCGACCCAGTGCCCCCTCAGTTCCTTCTCACCGCCCGTGATGGTCGTTGGAACTGTGGAGCGCGGCTTAGCTGAACTCCACTTCCCTAGCTTCTAGTGTAGCACTTATTATTAGTTCTTTAGTAGTAGTTAATAGTTAGTGTAAATAGTAGTTGGGGGTAAGGGGCTTCTCCCCTCCCTCCTGGTACCTGGGCTGATGCCTAGGTCCCTGGGTTTCAAACTGTTCTCGGCCTGCCTTAAACCGATGCCTATGGCAGACCCCCATGACTCCTGCTTGAAGTGCCTGAGGGAATCCCATCAATCTGACAAGTGCCGCATTTGTAAGGCATTCAAGCCTTGGACTAAAAAGGAGAGGGACTTTTGCCTGAATCAGCTCCTTATGGAAGTGGCACTTAGCCCAATGTCCTTGGGCTCGCGCCAAGACCCGGTGCCGACTTTGTCGGTTCGAAACGTGCCTGCAGCACCGGAAGGGTCAGCACCACATCCGGACACCGGCAAAGACTCCCGGCACCAGACATCTCCGGCACTCCTACCAGTGCGGCGTCGCTCCCTGTCTCCGGGACCGAAGAAGCAGCACAAGCAATCTGCTGCCCCCTTGCAGTCGCTGGCGCCACCTGTGCCTCCCTCGGAGTCGCATCCCATGTTGGAGTGTCCGGCAAAGGCACCAACCCCGGTACTGTTGACTCCGGCGCCCCAAGGGCCGTCGAGTCCGGTGCACATAAGCTCCCCGGTGTGTACCGTGGTCGAGCTCGGGCTGCCGTCCACTCCGAAGACATTCTCCACGGCGCGTGACCTGATTGCGAAGGTCTTGACTAGGTGAGCGCAGCCTTCGGTACCGCCGGTACGGGCTGTTCCTTCAAAAGGAAAGCCCTTCATGCTGCGCCCTCCGTCGCAGAGTGAGATAGGATGGCACTGATCCCGGTCCTGATCCTGGTCACAGTTCCGATCCATACGCTGGTCTCATTCATGGCACCGCTCGCAGTCCCGGCACCGATTACCATCTTGGCACCAGTCGCACTCGTGGCGCCACTCCACCTCACAAAGATCTACTTCTCGGTACCGGTCCAGCTCCCGGCACCGATCCCGACGCCGGTCTGAGCGCCAACCTACTCGGAGTCGATCCCAGCACCGTTCCACCCATAGATCTTCATCGAGGTCCAGATCCGTCTCCTGGCACCGATATGACTGCTGGTCCCGATCAGGATCACGGTGCCGCTCGAGACCACGGCGCTGATCTCCATCTCCACGGCGCAGTGCAGTACCACATGACAAGGCGACACAGCAAACGCGCTCGGCTCCACCTTGGCTATCCTGCCCCGCCGCGAGGTCATCCCAAGCAGGAAGTGGCTACCACATCCAGGACCAAGATGTGGACGGTGTTAGCCAATGGCAGGATGAGGGCCAGGATCCTGGTCAGGGACCTCCGCGATGATCCTTTTGGACCTCTTGGGCTTACCATCAGGCCCAGGGTGTCCCCTCAGGGGCTTTTTGCTCTGCTCACTTGGAGCCCCTGGTACCGAAGGCCACTGTGAGTTGCCCTCCCCTGGGTGGCTCGGAGGCGACGGCCCTGCCCCCAGTTCAGACCCATGTCCCTAGCATGGTGGACCTAGGGCAGTCGGACCCTCCCCAGCAAGACCTTCCCCAGGACCCATTAGTCCCCGGAGGTATCCTCCTCGTCTTCACCCGATGAGGCAATGGCGGGTATGTCCTCCTCTGGTCCCCCCCACCTATAGACCTCCGTGCCCACCAGGAGGTGCTCTGCAGGGTGGCACAAAACATGAGCCTCGAGGTGGTGGAGATAGAGGATCCTGTAGTGGACATTCTGTCTGCTGACACACCGACCAGAATAGTCTTGCCCTTCATCCAGACTATTCAGGCTAATGCCACTATGATCTGGCAATCTCCGGCCTTTATTCCTCCTACTGCCAAAGGGGTGGAGAGGAAGTATTTGGTCCCCTCCAAAGACTACGAATACTTGTATACTCACCCCCAGCCATGCTCCCTCATTGTACAGTCTGTTAACGAGAGGGAAAGACACGGCCAAGAAGCTCCCGCTTCTAAATTCAAGGACGCTAGACGCCTGGATTTATTCGGGCGCAAAATCTACTCCACTGGCAGCTTGCAGCTCAGAGTGGCTAACCAGCAGGCCCTCTTGAGCTGATACAAATATAATACCTGGAACTCAATGCAGAAGTTCAAAGAGCTTATTCCTCAGGAGTCCAGGGAGGAGTTCGGGGCCCTACTAGAGGAGGGCAAGAAGGTAGCCAGGACATCTTTACAAGCCTCAATAGATGCGGCAGACTCAGCGGCTAGGACTCTAGCCTCGGGCATAGCTATGCGCCGTATTTCATGGCTACAGGTCTCCGGTCTCCCACCGGAACTCCAAGAGACTATATAGGACCTACCCTTTGATGGCCAGGGTCTGTTTTCAGAGAAGACGGACTCCAGGCTTCAGCGTCTGAAGGACAACTGGGCCATCATGTGTTCACTGGGCATGCATACCCCGGTGACGCAATGTAGGCCCTTCCGATCCCAACCGCAGCGCACCTACCCTAACCCCCAGCCGAGACAGGACTTCTTTAGAAGACGAGGCTGGGGTGGTAGGCGGAGACAGTCTGGTCCACAGATGGACCAGAACCAAGGTCTCCCCAAACCATCGGTGAGGCCCAAACAAAATTTTTGAAGGTGTGCCCGAGGGCGGAGCACCAGTCTCGTTCCAGGATCCTTCCCCGCCTTTCAAAAACCGCCTCTGTTTCCTCCGTGCATGGTCCCATATAACGTCAGACCGCTGGGTCCTACGTACAGTGGAAAGTGGATACCGCCTTCAATTTGTTTCCGCCCCCCTTCCACCCTCCCTCTCCGTCCCTCTTCAGGGACTCTTCTCACGAGCAACTCCTTCTACAGGAGGTACGAACGCTCCTAGCTATCGGAGCAATAGAGGAGGTTCCAAGGGAACTGAGGGGCAGGGGGTTTTACTCACGTTATTTCCTAATCCCCAAGGCAAAGGGAGGGCTACGGCCCATCCTGGACCTGCGCAGACTCAACAAATTCATGGTAAGATTGAAGTTCGGCATGGATTCCCTGGGGACCATTATTCCTTTCCTGGAGACTGGTACGCCGCCCTCGACATGAAGGACGCGTACTTCCACATAGTGATTTACCCGCCGCACAGGCGTTTCCTTCACTTTGTGGTCAACCAACAGCACTTCCAATTTACCATCCTTCCCTTCGGTCTATCCACGGCACCAAGGGTCTTTACAAAGTGTATGGCTGTCGTAGCTGCCTCACTCCGTTGACATCGGATCCAAGTGTTTCTGTACCTCGACGACTGGCTCATTCGGGGTCGCTCCAGGGACCAGGTGCAATCTCATGTTCAGTTCACCATGAGCTTGTTCAGACAGCTGGGCCTGCTGCTCAATGTCGGAAAGTCCACTTTGGAGACGACCCAAAGAATAGACTTAATTGGAGCAGTCCTAGATTCGAGACTTGCCAGTGTGTGTCTACCGCACACGTGCTTTCAGTCCTTGGTGAGCATCATCCACGACCTCCAAGACTTCCCGAACTCGACAGTACGGACGTGCCTGGGTCTCCTGGGACACATGGCGTCTTGTACCTTCGTGACCAGACGCGCCAGACTGCGCCTCCATCCACTTCAGGCCTGGCTCTCAACCGTATACCACCCAGGCCGGGACAGCATGGGCACAGTGGTCACGGTACCGCCGGAAGTCTTAACCTCCCTGGACTGGTGGCTGAACCCCAACTCAGTATGCCAAGGGGTACCATTCCATGCCCCACATCCCTCCCTGGCCCTAACCATGGACACATCTCGAAGAACAACAGTTACAAAGGTGAGTAACCATCTTTTTTCCACCAGTAGGGACGTTAATGTGTCTGTGCCAGCTGTGGGGATCCAACCTATCCTTTGCTTCCTTAGACAATGTAGCTATAGTTACCCAGACTATGAGGATGGTATCAAACAGCTACTACTTCAGCCATTCCAAAACAGAAGACTGAAGGGAAAGGGGAGGTGCCTACTGAAGCAAAATGGCACGGCCTGAAATAAATTTCATTGCTGCTGCTTGTGTACTCCATGTGATCAGAATGGAGAGCACTATGTTTTCATATGGGATACTGGCACTCAGTTCTACCCATTTTCTCAGCTAGCTGGGAGTCCTGTGATTACTATTGCTGATCATGCTGGGCTAGTTAGCATAATAAAGGGTGCCACAGAAGCACAAGCATCAGTAGGGGCTAGCCACCCCAAGTACATGCCTAGCATATTATGCCATCTTGGGTATCTCTACACAGCAATCAGTAGTGTGACTGCAGCACATGTAGATATACCTAAGCTAGCTTTGATCTGGCTAGCTTGAATATCAATAGCAGTGAAGCTGCAGCAGCAGGAGCTATACAAGCCCACCCATGACCCTGGTATTTACTCAAGTGGCTAGCCTATGCAGCTACAGTATCATTGCTATCTTTTCTAGGAACAAAAGATGTATTCTCAACTCAAGTTAGTTAACTCAGGGTAAAATCCTGTTGAAGACAAAGTAGTTTGTAGTTCTCATGTGAGTTTGAAAGTTGACTGAAAGACTAGGCTCCCCCATAGTTTTTAGCTCAGCCGTCTAACTTGCATGAAAACTACCTACTGTATTTTGTTCACTAGGATTTTGCCTTAATTCAGTTAACTTGAATTAAGAACAGAACTTTTATCCTAGTGAGAGATTTCCATAGTGAAGATTGTTGATGAGGAGGGAACACTTAGCTACAAGCAGGTTATATATAACTGTGTTTTAATTTACACAACCTGTTTTTCTTTCCCTGTTCTCCGTGAATGAAGAATTCCATTATTAATAATGTTATTAAAATCTTCCTGGCTCTCTTTAAAGCTCCCTTATCCCTCTCTTTCTGTTACTCTCATTCCTCTCTTATTCATTAAGGCCTTGGAATATCTTTTCAAGTTCATTGTCCAATCTCGGATCCTTTACTCAAGAGCTACTTGTGGAATGGAGGAGGAACAATTTCGCTCCAGTATCCAAGAGCTTTTCCAGTCCATCAGATTCGTGCTCAGCTTGGACAGCAGGAGCTCAGAGACTCTCATCTTCACACAGGTTAGCTATTTTCTATATTCAAATACTGGAAGTGCAGAGGCAGCTATTTTGTGCACAAGCAACATATTCATCCAATAGTTAAGAGCCATAATTTGTGCTCTTTTACAGGCTGATTTTACAGAAACAAGTGACATAGTTGCACAGTAATTTTAGATGCAGAACAGCTGGGCAGTTTTACAGTGAAGAAGGGAGACAAATGTATTGTCATGTTATGTGGTTAGAGTAGACATTCCATATTCTTTTTGTTTTTATGTTAAGTGTCTCATTCATAAGCATGTCTCAGAATTGGCACAGAGGAATTTTAATTTATTAGTCACAAAGAAAAGTAACAGCTCAAGTCAATACAGTAGGTCACAGCAGCTGCGCATAATGGAAAAGTTCTGATTGATGTGTAGTTAACTAGGAAACCCTAGAAAAATTCACATCCTCAGTTCACCATCACTACTGGAATCAACTGTGGATTGACTACAACCGTATTATGATATCCTTATTCATTTTTGGTAGTGCCTTACTCTGCAAACAGTCCCATTGACTTCAGTGGAAGTTCACATAAGGTAAGACGCTCCTCAGTGTGAGTAAGGATGTCACAGTCTGGCTCTGAGTTATTGTAAGGATCACTATACGAACATTTAAAACTTAACACTTTACACAGTAGGATCTTTTGTGGTATGTACATACCCTAGCTCAGAGGCTCTCAAATTGTGATTTGCATAAAGCTGACTGGTAATGTGGTGCTGGTTCTCAACATTCTCTGTTGTTAAAATGCAATAAAAGACAGTTACAGATACATTTAATATTGTCCTAATAGGATTTTCCATGGAAGCAATTGCTGTAGTTGTCACAATAAAGTTTAATTATCCCAGTGGGAGGGAAAGTGGTCAGCAAAACAATCTCTCTCTCAAGATGTGGTCCACATTATGAAAAAGTTTGAGAACCACTGCTGCAGTCTTTGGTTTAATCACTTAGCAAGAGTATGGACCAGGGTCATCAGAAATCACTGCAACTTTCTACCGGAAAACTGACATTCAGGGAAAAATAGAGTCTGGGGAAACTATTCTTTTGTTTTTCATTTGGGCTATTGTAAATACATAAGGGAAACTGAACTGAGGACAGGATAGTTCTCTCTCTTTTTTGCCCTGTGTTACTACTGTCTTTCGAAATGTCTTCACTTCAGGCATTTGTATATTTATAAAACCTGTCCTGTTTAATATTTGAAAAGTTTACTTTTTGTTTCCCACTTGCCATTGTGTTGCCCCTTCGACCCTCATTGCCCCATAGGCCCCTCAGCCTGGAGGACAGGTGAGCGGAGCTGGGACATGTGCCCCACAAAAGTGTGGTGGTACTTCAAGGCCGTCGTTTAATTCTGTAAGTAATAATAACTTTGCCTGCACCACTCTTTCATCATGGATGTGCCCCGTGACTCTCCTTTCCCTACCCAAATCCATCTTTTCCTGCATATAATCTTGGAGTGCAGTGTACAACTGTTCAGGGTTTTTTTTGAAAATAGGGAAAGAGATGTGGAATATTCTGGTAATGGATTGAACATGTAGGATTTCAAACACTGAAAATACAGTACAAGTGGTCATCAATACCTACGTGAGTCAACTTGTTCGGGAGAAACAACAATGAGAGGAAAAAATATATCCAATCAGTCATGAAAGAGAACAGATATTGGATCTTATTCATCCTTCAGTAAACAAGATATATTTAATAGCTACATGGTCATGAAAAACAATGACGAGAAGGAAAATATTTTAGATCCAATATTGAAAGAGAAGAGATATTGGATCTTATGCATCCTTCATTATAAAGGATGCTTGCCTTAACATATTAATAATCAGGAGAAGCAATGGTTGGAGAGAAGATATTTTAGACAAATGATGAAAGAGAAGACTTACTTGGACCTTGCTTATCCTTTCTGCTTGTACCAGGATGATTGTGACAAATGGCAATTTACAAGTTCAAGCCTTTTGTTATAATGATTAGGTTCTTTAAGTGCATGTATCTGTAACAAGGTTGGGACTCACCACCGCGGCGCCTCCTACTGGTTACTCCGGAAATTAGCTCAGTCCAGTGGAGCACCCCCTCTCGGTGGTATCCCGCCCGTTGTCTTGCCCTCGGTTGGCTTCTGAGCCCACATTGCTCACCAACTCGCGGCGTCCTCTTCCGGACCACTGCCCTCCAGCAGTGCCCCTTAGTCCTTCCACACCCCCTTCCGGGGGGGGGGGGGGGGGTGTCAATCAGCAGTCTCTATGTCCAGTCACCGTGGTCAACCACACACCCCAAAGTCTAATTCCTCCTGTCAGGGATCTGGCGCGGTCTATAATTGCCGCTCCCTACTGCCAATGACTGGGTGTCCTGCAAGGGGGGGAAGAGGGGGACCCAGGCCCGCCCACTACTCTGGGTCCCGGCCCAGGGACCCTCTGGCGGCCGCCTCGCTGTCCTCCTTCTCTCCCCTCCGTCTGTCTACTTCCCTGGGCTGCTTCCCCTACGGCCCCTTGCACCCGCTAGACCCTTCTCTTCAGGGCCTGCAGCCTGGCAGGCCTCAGGCTAGAGCTCCTCTCTGAGCCTGGCCAGCACTGCGCTGTCTGCAGTGCTAGTCTCCCTGCTCTGGAGACAGACCTTCCCCTGTCAAAGGCCTGGGACAGACTGACTCTCCGCTCTCTGAGCAGCCTTCTTATAGGGCTGAGCCTGGCCCTGATTGGCTGTCTCCAACCTGGGCCCTGATTGGCTCTCAATAAGCTCTTCTCCCATTGGCTCCCTGTCTGCGCAGGCCCACTGGCCTGCTGCAGCCCATACTCTCAGGGAGTGGAGCAGCCACCCCACTACAGTATCATTGTATGATAGTAACGCTAGTCCAGTGCTTGTCTGTTGGATATTTCATAGCAATACTGATCCAGTACTGTTCTAGCAAAGACTTAAATCTACTGGTGAAGATGGTTATTTAGAACAGTCCTGTTCCTGTTTCATTGTTTATATTTTCATACACTGATCCAAAGTTAGGTCTTTTGAGTGAATAAAAAGCAACCCAGATAACTGGAAAACTATTAAGCCATGACAGAAATGCTCAAGGCCTTAGCAAAAATCTTTCTTCACACTTCTCCTTTCACCCAGGATGTCAGAGATCTCTCTCTCCATGCTTCTTTCCCGACCATCACAGTGAAATTGATTCTGCCCTCTTTCCAGTTCAATGATCTGACAAGAGCAATATACCAGACCATTGCAGATACTTGTACAGAGAGCAGCTATACCCTTCTAAGAATTAATAAACCATCACAGAGATCCCGCAGGTTATCTAGCATATTATTGAACTATTACTAGGTTTCCTAAATCATTACAGAAATCCTCCCACTCAGAAGAAAGATTTATAGGCAGGCTTCAGGCAAACTGTTGCAAGAATACCCAGGGCCATAATACTGATATCTCAGGCCATTATCCCAAAGGCTGTCACAGACCTCCCAAAATTAGTCTACAGAATCATCAGATTATCACAGAGATAAACTGATGTAGAGATTCACAGCCTCGTAATAGCCTTCAAAGAGATACCTTGAAATATTTCAAAACTCTCAGATTGTTATTAGTTTAATTAAACATCTATATGTTGCATGTGATGGCACTTGTAAGCACTTTAGGCCACTATGTAATCAAAAAGATGCTGGGGGAGATAACAGGCAAGAGAAATGGAGGAAGGGGTAAAGGAATATAGAGAATGTTACGGACTGTACAGGACAAATTGTTAGTTCTAAAAGGCTTTTGTTTTTATTTTATTCATAATTGCATTTTTTATTTTTATTGTGTAAGGGACATTAGCTAGAGGATCATTGTTTGTTGGAAGGATTGTGGATAAAGGTGTTTTGAAGAGGGAAATTGTGTGGTGTATAGGATCAGGGAAGACATTCCAAGTCTAGGGGCCAGCATGAGAAAAGGCACAGAAGTACTTCTGGGAGAAAAGAAAAAGTTTGTGGAGGGAAGAAAGACTGGTAAAATAGAGGAGAGTGGTGGATAGCCACTCATGAGATGTAGGGAAGAGCAGAGCTGGAAAGAGTCTAACAAATTGAGTTCAGTTATTTTGAAATTTTTACGCAAAGGACTGTAGAGCCAGTTAAGGGATTCATAAAAGGGGATGATATGGTCAAAAAGTGAGTTTCATGGTGACATTTTGGATAGATTGGATAGGAGTGAGGCAGTTGTTGGGAAGACTAGAGAAGAGGTTACAATAGTCCAGGTGGGAGGTTATTAAGACATGCACAGGGATTTTGGATGCACTGTAAAGGAGGAAACAGAAGGATTTTAAAACAGCTTGAATATGAGGGGTAAATGGGAGGAGTTAAGGATAACATCAGGCGTGTGGGCCTGGAGATTGGAAGGGCTCATGGAATTATCTACTATCATGGAGAAGTGAATATGAAGGAAGGACATGAGTGTGAAATGAAGAGTTCTGTTTTTGTTATGTTGAGGTCCTTCCTCCAGTCCAGAGATATCTTCAGGGATAACTCCAAGCTACTGAAGTTATCCCCTTATAACAGAAATAATTTTGCTCTATTATTTGCATGGTATGATGCATAATTTTCATGCAAAAATACCCTGCCTCACTGTTGTAGAAGTACAGTAATATCATGTGTTGGTGGTGCTTTTAAGGATCTCTCCTTATCTTATTTATAAACAACCTTTCAGAATGGTTTGTAAATCTCCCTTATTAAGTTGTTTCAGTGCAAAAAACTTTATAGAAGTTCTTTAACTCAGAAGCACTTTTTTTTTTCATTAAAAGATAAAATAAAAAAAAATATTTGGACCAGTTTGGGATTTTTTTCTGTTTTGTTCTCCTGTCCTTAAAAAACCGTGAGGCTATAATATGGCCAGTACTGTTGTGGGTTTCTTGTTTTTTTAAATCACTCTGTTCTCAACTTATTATATAATATGTTGATATTGCAAAGCTTCAGAACAAAGCACGATCTTACATACCAGAAGTGCTTTGCTTTTGGGAGCTGCATGGTGATACAAAGATAGAATATCAGCCACCATTTTGAATGTAATAGCTTTTTTTCAGACCCATAACTCTGTTTTACCATTGTTTATTTGTATTTCACACAAATATCCCTATTCTTTAGTTACAGAACTCAAAGCTGTCATAGCTTGTTCATTTTCTTTTTTCAGGCTGCTTTACTGAATTCCTTCCCTGCAATCTTTGATGAGCTATTGCAGATGTTCACCGTGCAGGAAGTAGCAGAGTTTGTGAGAGGAACTCTAGGAAGCATGCCCAGTACAGTGCATATCGGACAGTCGATGGATGTAGTTAAGCTGCAATCTATAGCACGCACTGTGGACAGCCGCCTGTTTTCTTTCTCGGGTAAGACAGTAGCATCCATTTGTAACACTTACAGCTGAATGCCCCTGGTAAATCCAGCGAAGTGATAGTAGGATCGTATTGCATTTTTTGCAGCTGCTTTGTGGAGAACCATACAGTGAAGAATACAAATAAACTTGGAGAAATTGTTAGCTATGTTGTACTTCTGGTGTATGTATGCGCTTTATGTATATATTGTTCTACATATATGGAGCTTTTCCTACAGTGAAGAATGTGGTGTACTCTATGTGATATGCGCCCATAAATAAATTTTGTGTGACCACAGATAGTGTAGAAAACATGAGATTTAGGATACAGAACAATACTCTTAACTAGCATATCCATTGATTAAAAACATACTTATTAAGTGATCATTCAATTATTACGATTATCAGTGCTCAAAGGAATACACTGTGCTACATCTCTAGTATTATTTCTTATTACAACTGCATTGAACAAGACACAGATATGAAGACAATCCCTGCCCCAGCAAGCTTGCAGCCCAAAAGACACTCACTGAAAGAGGAGCTGCAATGAGAGACCCAGGAAAGAGTCACTTTAGATATATATTTTTCTTAAAATTCTTAATCTGAACATTTTTATTTTCACATTTATGGGGTTTATAAAAGAAGTGGGTGTTTTGGAGGCATTTGAATGAGGAAAAGGTGAGAGCCTGGTGCACTGAGTTGGGGAGGTCATTCCATGTATAGGGGTCTGCGTGAAAGCAGTTAAGAAGACAGGAGTGGAAGAAGAAAACAAAAGGGTTTTAGATGCTGGCATATTTGGCCAAAGAAAGGGACAGAGAGGAAACACAGTAGACAGTGAGATCCAATAAGCCAGGGCTGAGTCTGCCAGGGCCTTGAAGATGAGGAAGAGAGGATTAAACTTTACTAAAGTGGGTGGCAAGGGGGAACAAGTGAAGCACATCAAAGAGGGCAGTGATGTTGTCTGACTGGCAGGCAATGGATTCTGTTTCTTTAAATACTTTAACCCTATGGGTTAATATATTTTCATTAGGGTTCTAAGGGCTGGAGCTAAGTAAACCTGACTCCTCTCTGTTAGCCTCTCCATTTCCTCCTGCTCCCTTTAACAAGGGATTCCGGCATCCAAAGCCCTCCTTTATCTGCCAACCCTACATCTTCTTAACCTCATTGCATTCTAATGAACAGAAAGCCTCACTGTTCCTTCCTGTTTCAGAGTGGTAGCCGTGTTAATCTGTATCAGCAAAAAGAACGAGGAGTACTTGTGGCACCTTAGAGACTAACAAATTTATTTGAGCATAAGCTTTCGTGGGCTAAAACCCACTTCGTCGGATGCATGCAGTGGAAAATACAGTAGGAAGTTATATATACACAGAGGACATGAAAAAATGGGTGTTGCCATACTAACTATAACGAGAGTAATCAGTTAAGGTGGGCTATTATTAGCAGGAGAAAAAAAACTTTTGTAGTGATAATCAGGATGGCCCATTTCCAACAGTTAACAAGAAGGTGCGAGTAACAGTAGGGGGAAAAATTAGCATGGGGAAATAGGTTTTACTTTGTGTAATGACCCATCCACTCCCAATCTTTATTCAAGCCTAATTTAATGGTGTCCAGTTTGCAAATTAATTCCAATTCTGCAGTTTCTCATTGGTCTGTTTTTGAAGTTTTTTTGTTGGAGTATTGTGACTTTGAGGTCTGTAATCGAGTGATCAGGGAGGTTGAAGTGTTCTCAGACTGGTTTTTGAATGTTATAATTCTTGACGTCTGATTTGTGTCCATTTATTCTTTTGCATAGAGACTGTCCGGTTTGGCCAATGTACATGGCAGAGGGGCATTGCTGGCACACGATGGCATATATCACACTGGTAGATGTGCAGGTGTTCCTCTTCCTACTGGCCTGTTTTCCTTGCACCTATCCGCTCAAACTTGTGGCTGCCTTTGGTGCTGATTTCTATTTTCTCCCAGCACATGAGTCTTTTGCAGCCTTTCTACAGGGGTAAGACCATTGGCCAGGCATACTAGAGGAAGGAATAAGGAAATCCTAGCAGTGAGGAGTATGGGCCAATCAGAACTCACTGCAGACAAGAATCCTGATGTGTGGCCTTGCCTCCCAAAAGCCAGAAAACCTCCCTGCTTCCAACATTGCACCCTTTCCACTATTTTGTGCAATGAATACAGTCAGGTCCTTAAGGTGATGAACCCATAAAGATAAGCTAATTTCCTAAGAATTAAATATATACAGCGTTTGACTCACTGAGCTGCTGTGAAAGCAGCATGAAGTGAACAAAGGGCCACACAGCAGGAAATTAATTCTAGCAAATGGCAATTCACACCTGTTGTTTGCAAGCATATTCACAGTATTCTTACCACTTCAAAAGTTATTTTTCCTCCCTTGGTATCCTGCTGTTAATTAATTTATCTCATTAGACTGACCTCATACTTGGTAAAGCAACCCCCATCCTTTCATGTATTTATACCTGCTCCTGTATTTTTCACTTCATGAATCCGATGAAGTGGGTTCTAGCCCACGAAAGCTTATGCCCAAATAAATTTGTTAGTCTCTAAGATGTTACAAGGACTCCTCGTTGTTTTTACATTCACAGTAGTTAACATCAGGCATGCCATTTAGATGTACCATTAATTCATTGTTTAGTGACTTTGAAATGCATTGCACTGAAAATCTGTTCTGTAGCAATCCCACCAATTAATCAGGCATGCTGTTTATCAGAGGGCCAATTAAGTGAATTCTACTGTATCAGCATCCTATATTAATACTAATTCCTCGGTTTCCACATACAGTAACTCCTCACTTAACGTTGTAGTTATGTTCCTGAAAAATGTGACTTTAAGCGAAACGATGTTAAGCGAATCCAATTTCCCCATAAGAATTAATGTAAATGAGGAGGTTAGGTTCCAGGGAAAAAATTTTCACCAGACAAAAGACTATATATATATATACACACAGTATAAGTTTTAAACAAACAATTTAATACTGGTACACAGTGATGATGATTGTGAAGCTTGGTTGAGGTGGAGGAGTCAGAGGGTGGGATATTCCCAGTACCTTACTGCTAAATGATGAACTAGCAATTGGCTGAGCCCTCAAGGGTTAATTCTCACACTCTACTGTACAACGCAGCAGGAAAGGAGGGAGGGCAGACAGAGACAGAGACACACACCGTGTGTGTGTGTGTGTGTGTGAGAGAGAGAGAGAGAGAGAGAGATGCGCATTTCCCCTTTAAGTATGGAGAGGGGGGTCAGAAGTACACTGCCTTGTTAATTAGATCAGCAAGCTGAGACCAGACCGCAGCTGCTGCTGCCTGGAAGCTCCCTCTGTTGTGTGTCCCCCCTGCTCTATGGAAGATGGGGTAAGCGGGGTGCAGGAGCAGGGGGGAGGGGGACACCCTGACATTAGCCCCCCTCTTCTTCCCCCCCACACAGCAAGCAGGAGTCTCGGGGAGCAGCTCCAAGGCAGAGTGCAGGAGCAGCACATGGCAGTGGGGGGAGGGACAGCTGCAATTGCTAGCCTGCTGGGCAGCTGCTGCACAGGGAACTTAGGGGAGCGGGGAGCTGATAGGAAGAGCTGACTGGGGGGTTGTTGGTCCACCTGGTTCCAACCACCCACCAGCTACCTCCACCGGGCTGCTCTTCCTGCAAGCAGTGGACAAAGCAGGCGGCTGCCAAATGACATTAGAAGGGAGCATTGCACAACTTTAAACGAGCATGTTCCCTAATTGATCAGCAACGAAACAACGTTAACCGGGACGGCTTTAAGTGAGGAGTTACTGTACAAAGTTTTTAGATAATATCAAGGTTGCTGAAATTCAGGTCTGTCCTAGAATAATTCTGAGTCTTGTTTCCCTCTTTTAGAATCTCGGCGAATCTTGCTCCCTGTGGTTCTTCATCACATTCACCTTCATCTGAGACAGCAGAAGGAGTTACTCATCTGCTCTGGGATCCTCAGTAGTATCTTCTCCATTATCAAGGCCAGCTCCTTGGTAATCTGCCCACCTGTCTTCTCCATTCCAACAGTAAATTACTGAAGCACAATCTGAGATAGTTTCTATTGGATATATATCTTTTTCAGTGAATCTTTTTATAACAGAACTCTAACTTTATTAGCAGCAAGAGAATTCCTTAACTGAACGACCGCCTTTGTGTGTATGACTCATAGCATTCTGGTTACAGCATGTTCTTGTTGTGAAAACACACACACACACACACACACACCTCAGACAAACCCAGCAAGACTGACACTGTTTAATTTTCTTCACCCTAGCCTGGAACTCACTTATCTGTGGTGCTCAAAAGCCCTACCCAGTCCTGTCACTTGCAGTTCTGTAGGAGACAGTAACTAGCACTTTATCGTGAATGTTAAGAGAACGCTGTAAAATTATCTAATCAATGAAATCATGCTTATTTTCAGAAATTGCTGCTGATTTAAACAGCTGACTTTGATCTTTAGGATACTCTTATCTCAAATGCCACCTCAGTCGTTTTTTAAAATGTTCACAGTTTGATTACAAATATTTGCACTGTAAAAAACAAACTAAATAATATTTTTCAATTCATCTAATACAAGTACTGTAATGCAATCTCTTTATTATGAAAATTGAACTTACAAATGTAGAATTATTTACAAAAAAACTGCATTCAAAAGTAAAACAATGTATAACTTTAGAGTCTACAAATCCACTCAGTCCTACTTCAGCCAATCGCTCAGACAAACAAGTTTGGTTACAATTTACAGGAGACAATGCTTCCCACTTCTTGTTTACAATGTCACCAGAAAGTGAGAACAGGCATTCACATGGTACTGTTGTAGCTGTCGTCGCAAGACATTTACATGCCAGAGGTGCTAAAGGTTCATATGTCCCTTCATGCTTCAACAACCATTCCAGAGGACATGCGTCCATGCTGATGACGGGTTCTGCTCGATAACGATCCAAAGCAGAACGGTCTGACACATGTTCATTTTCATCATCTGAGTCAGATGCCACCAGCAGAAAGTTGATTTTCTTTTTTGGTGGTTCGGGTTCTGTAGTTTTCACATCTGAGTGTTGCTCTTTTAAGACTTCTGAAAGCATGCTCCACAACTCGTCCCTCTCAGATTTTGGATGGCACTTCAGATTCTTAAACTTTGGGTCGAGTGCTGTAACTATTTTTAGAAATCTCACATTGGGACCCTCTTTGCGTTTTGTCAAATCTGCTGTGGAAGTGTTCTTAAAACAAACGTGCTGGATCATCATCCGAGACTGCTATAACATGAAATATTGGTTGGAGCTGCACATTTGGCTTGCCATTTCTGTCCTCAGCTACTAATTGTCTGTTTTCTTACTGCTCACTGTAGGAGGCAGATGTAGTGGAGGAGGTTGAGATGATGGTGGAGAGCCTCCTGGATGTACTTTTACAGACTCTGCTTACTATCATGAGTAAATCGCAGTCTCAGGAGGCGGTAAGAGGGCAGCGTTGCCCGCAGTGCACAGCCGAAATCACTGTTAGTAACTAACAATCAGGTTCTATTTCCTGCTTCTCTAACGTTCAGCTCCCTTTATCCCACTCCCTCACAACCACCTACACAACATTACCATCTCTCCTGCATGAACGATCACAGCTTTCTCTCCTTTCCTTCCCACTCATGAATCCATTCCTTCCACTCTGAAAAAAATCTGTCACAATGTACTAGTCAGGCTGCTTCACGTTTACATCAACAACTGATGGGGCCCAGAAAGCTTTCCTGCTTGCTATAGTTACTGTCTTGGATTATATTTGAAGTTATGATTGCAAATTATCATTCGGTAGTCTTTGGCAGATGCCAATTAGGTGATGATTTAGGGCTCCACCTCTAAATGGGCACCAAAATAGCATTGGGAATATCATGATTGCTCACCAGCAGGCCAGTGCCATTCACTTCAGTTCCTGGAGAGATTCTGCTCAACTGATCCACACTTATCACTTCCCACAAATGAAACAGGTGCATCCTTCTGGAGAAGGAAATAACAGATAGGGAATCGAGTGTGTTGCTGAGCTGGGTGGGAGGAAAGGAGCAAAGAGAGATGAAGATAGCACCAAACCTGATCTTTGCAAAGGGTGCTAACACGCTTACAGCTGGCCCAAATTACTCAGCAGCATGGGCAGGAGCGGCGCCAGGGTTTTTGGCGTCCTAGGCGGGGGTCCTTCCGCGCTCCCGGTCGTCATCGGCAATTCTGCAGCAGGGGGGGTCCTTCCGCGCTCCCGGTCTTCGGGGCACTTCGGTGGTGGGTCCCGGAGCGAGTGAAGGACCCGCCGCAGAATTGCCGCCGAAGACCTGGAGCGCGGAAGGATCCCCTGCTGCTGAATTGCCGCCCCCCCAAATCCTGGCGCCCTAGGCGACCTCCTAGGTCGCCTAAATGGAAGCGCCAGCCCTGAGCATGGGATAAAGAGGGAATGAGAATTCTTCCTTGTCCTTCACTAAAAGATGGGGGAAAGAATAAAATTCCCATCCAGCCTTCTCCCTTCCTGGACTCATTGCACTACATATTCTATCCTAACCCTATTTTTACTTGATTCAAACATTGAGCTGATATCAGCACCACTTGTGTTGTCAATCTGTTCTCCAAAACACTTTCCACCCAGTGTTAATTTTCTTATAAATTGGCTGGGAATTTGAGTGTGTTGAGCAGGTAGATGTACAGTCACTGCCTCCACACTAGGAACAAAGATGTTTCCTAACCTCTTGTTAGCTAAAATGCAGTAACAAACATAAGGTAAATTCCTAATGAAGACAAGGCAGTTTGTAGGGGTGAGTCTAGGGTTTACCTTCACTTGCTAACATGTTACAACCGCAACTGCCTTTTCCTCACTATGATTTTACATTCTTTCGCTTACATCTGTTAGCTAACACATGGTCAGAACACACCTTTTTCTTAATAAAGACAAGGTATTAACGTTAATTGGAGTAGCTCAGAAAAGTTTATAAACATTCCAGAGCATGTGGGCAGAAACCTGAGTCCATCTGAAAAAGGAACTTGCCCAGGACACTCCCAGATATAAAATCTCTTCAGAAACATTCTTCATGAACATTCATATTTAGCACAGTATCTGTAATGTGAGACACAAGATTAGGTACTTCTTAAAAAATCTTTGCAATTGTTTAAAAATAAATTGCTTCAATGGCTTAGAGACACAATTGCTACAAGGAGACATAGTCATAGCAGGAAACTAGTAATGTGGAGACAGATACTATTCCTGACTGCCACTGATTTGCAACCTTACCTTTGACACAATGCCTAACCCTTTTATGCTGTACTCTTCAAATGTGTAAAAATGGGGATTTTTACTCACCTTTGTAAAGCACTTTGAGAGGCTGTGGTGAAAGGAGCTATATAACTGCAAAGCATTATTTACTATGTAAGACCTTGATTTCAGAGCAGCTTCTCCTACATACTGGGAGAGAGAGCCCTTGACTGTCAGTATTGACCATTTAAACTCTGATATTTGTAATAAGTCCTATGAAAAAAAGAGCACACACAGCTGAGCTTCTGAGAGTTTTTGCTATGTATTAACAGGAAATAGAGATAATTTGTCATACAGTATTTTTAATCTCTGCAAATGAACTTCTTTTTCGAGTGCTTGTTCACGTCCATTTCACATTAGGTGTGCGCGCGCCGCGTGCACGGACGTCGAAAACTTTTTTCCTTAGCGGCTGCTGTCGGGTCGGCAGGGGAGCTCCCTAGAGTGGCGTCTCTATGCTGCTGCATATATACCCCTGCTGACCCGACCCCCCTTCAGTTCCTTCTTACTGTCCGTGGTGGCGTTGGAACAACTCTTTCTCTCGCTTGTGAGTGATCCCTTAGCACAGTTGTAGCAGTTATCAGTGGTTAGCAGATATCTGTAGTTAATAGTTACCGGTAGTTAGCACTTCTTTATAGTACATAGTTAAGCTTCCTTTGTTTTAGGTGTCTGGAAGTTGTTTCCAGCACCAGCCCTGGGCTGCGGGGCATGCCGCAGGCCCAAGGGTTTAAGGCTTGTGCCACATGCCGCAAGCCTATGCCAATCAGTGATCCCCACGACTCGTGTCTCCGCTGTTTGGGGGAATTGCACCAGATTGAGCGCTGCAAGATCTGTAAGGCTTTTAAGCCAAGAACCAAGAAAGAAAGAGACTTTCGCCTCAAGCAGTTACTCATGGAGGCCGCGCTGCAACCTACGGCCTCGGACCATCCGGCTTCAGTGCCGGCGTGCTCGGTGTGGAGTGCCCCGGCATCAGTCCGTGATCTGGCGCCGGTGGGGCACCATAAGCATGTGGAACTGAGGCAACAGGACAAGCCCCAGCACCGCTCGACCACTCCAGTATGGTTGAAGGGGCAGCCTAAAGGCGATAGAGGGCGCTCCCCACATAAGAAGGCGGCAATTTCCAAGGGACCAAGCACTCAGAGGGGCAGTGCGGCCCCAGGACATACACTGGCACCGGTGGCTTCGGCGCCACAGGGCCCATTGAGCCCCGGGCTAAGTGGGTTGACCGCAGAAGAAGGGCTGGAAGACATCCTAGAACAACCCTCCACCCCAGACACCTTTGAGGCGGCAAAAGACCTCATCGAGCTGTCGGTGGCAAGCCCCCTCCCTGGCAAGGAGAAGCCTCCGGCACCATCACCAAGGGTGCCATCCAGAGGCAAGCCGGCAATGGTGCACCGCTCGAGGTTACCACCCCGGCACCGCTCCCGGTGCCGGTGCCGGTCCCGGTCGAGCTCAGCCTCTGTGGACTCCCAGTTACCTTTGGCTCAGTGGGACTCGATGGCACTGGAACTGAGCCAGCACACGACCCCGGCTCCGCCGGCGCACCGCTCCCTGGCACTGTCCCTAAGCCGGCACTGAGGGGACATAAGGCCGCAGTCCCCGGCCCCGGGCAGAAGGCAGCGATCCCAGTCCTGAGAGCATCGGTACCGATCCCGGTCCCGGTTGGTGAGGAGCCACTCTCCAGCCTCCCGACGGCACTGTGCCACGGCACCGCCTTGGCCTTTGAGGTCGGCGTCCTTGGAATCCAAGGTCGACTCAGGCCGCTCCAGCTACGCCTGGAGGGCACCGGCTAGCAGGGAGCCCCAGACCGTGTGGCATCCCCAATGGGGCCTGCCAGGACAATGGCCCTTTTGGACACCATGGACCTATCATCAGCAGCAAGGGACCTCCTCCAGAGCTTCAAGGTCCGGCTATTCTGTGCATTGGTCCTGGTCCCCACGCAGACACCCCTCCGCACCCAAGGAGGCTACAGTATCCAGGCCGCCAGATGCTTTTCCGGAACAACAGCAAGCGGAAGCGGCACCAAGCCCGGGGCCGTCCCGGGGACAATCAACCAGGCAGGGCTTGGACATGCCCCCGCCTATGATGAGGAGCAAGAAGAGCAGGTGGAGGAAGCACAGCAGGCCCTCACCTCCTCATCGTCCCCAGACGAAGCTGTGGTGGGCACGGCGGTGTCGGGGCCTCCCCCAATTGACCACAGGGCAGATCAGGAGCTGCTCCGCAGGGTTGCCCAGAACTTGGACCTACGGGCGGAGGAAGCGGTGGAGCAGGAGGATCCTCTGGTGGACATCCTAAGCCCTAAAGGCCCCTCCAGAATTGCACTCCCGCTCATAAAGACAATTCAGTCTAACTACAAGACGGTCTGGCAAACCCCAGCCTCTAGCGCACCGACGGCAAGGGGGGTGGAGAGGAAGTACTTCGCCCCCTCCAAGGGATACGACTTCCTATTTTGTCATCCGGCCCCCTGTTCGCTGGTCGTCTCAGCCGTGAATGAACGGGAGTGTCATGGCCAGCAAGCCCCGGCTCCCAAGGCCAAGGAGGCTAAACGTTTGGACCTCTTCGGAAGGAAGGTCAACTCCTCTGGGGGCCTCCAATTAAGGATTGCGAACCAGCAGGCGATCCTAAACAGGCACAATTTTAATTCCTGGGCAGCAGTTTCCAAATTTAAAGACTCCTTGCCCCAGGGTTCTCAACCTGAGTTCACGGCCCTCGTGGAAGAGGGAAAGGCAGTTGCCAAGACCTCATTACAGGCCTCTCCGGACTCGACAGACGCAGCAGCCAGAACAATCGCCTCAGGTGTGGTGATGAGGCGCTCAGCGTTGCTTCAGGCCTTCTGCCAGAGGTCCAGAACACCATCGAGGACCTCCCCTTCGAAGGGTCGGGCCTCTTTTCCGACCAGACCGATGCCAGGCTGCATAACCTTAAAGACTCCCGGGCAACCCTCAAGTCATTAAGAATGCACACCCCAGCGACTCAGAGGAAGCCATTCAAGCCCCAACCGTTGCAGCAACGGCAGTACCAGCCTCGCCCTAGGCAGGAGCCTTATCACAGGAGGGGCAGAGACAATAGACGCAGGTGGAATAACATGCCTAATCAGGGCCAGGGCAAGCCCCAGCCTGGCAACAAGCAGGGGTTTTGAAGGTGCGCTCGAGGACAGCGTACCAACCCAGCTCCTGGATCCTTCCCCATGTTTCCTGGACCACTTATCCCACTTCTACCAGGCGTGGTCCCGTATAATGTCGGACCTTTGGGTCTTGCGCACGGTACAAGTGGGTTACACGCTACAGTTCTCCTCCTTCCCTCCTATCCACCCCCCTTTCCCGTCCCTCTTCAGGGACCCTTCTCACGAGCAACTCCTTATACAGGAGGTACCGTCGCTCTTAGAGGCGGGGCGGTGGAGGAAGTCCCTCGGGAACTAAGGGGGAAGGGGTTTACTCCCGTTATTTTCTCATCCCAAAGGCAAAGGGGGGCCTTCAGCCCATTTTAGATCTTTGCGGGCTCAACAAGTTCTTAGTCAAGGTCCGCTTCCGCATGGTCTCCCTAAGCACTATTATCCTGTCTCTGGATCCGGGGGATTGGTACGCTGCCCTCGCCATGAAAGATGCATACTTTCACATCGCTATTCACCCCACTCACCAGCGGTTCCTGCGGTTTGCCATAAACCAGCACCATTACCAGTTTGCGGTCCTCCCGTTCGGCCTGGGGGCAGCCCCCCACATGTTCACGAAATGCATGTCAGTAGTGGCAGCCTTTCTGCGAAAGAGGAGAATACGGGTATACCTATACCTTGATGATTGGCTCCTCGTGGGTCGGTCCGAAGAGGAGGTCTGCTCCCATGTGACGGTTGCCCTGGATGCAGGCTGGGTCTTCTCGTCAACATGCCCAAGTCTTCCCTGATACCAATGCAAAGGCTGGAGTTCGTCGGGGCGCTGCTGGACTCAGTGCAGGCGCAAGCGAGCCTCCCAGAATCCAGATTCCTGGCCATCCAGCCTGTCATAGACTCGATGCTAAGGTTCCCCAGTACCATGGCCAGATGCTGCCTGCAGCTCCTGGGGCACATGGCGGCGTGCACTCACATAGTCAAATACGCTCGACTACGGCTCGGGACTTTACAAGTGTGGCTTGCCCGGTCGTATCGCCCAGGGAAGAGATCCCCTAGACCTTGTTGTGACGGTTCCAGCCCAGGTGTTGGACTCCCTGTGATGGTGGCTCAATTGGCCAGTAGTATGCGAGGGTACCCCTTCGCCGCACCGCAACCTGCTCTGACGCTGGTGACAGACACATCAGACCTCAGCTGGGGAGCTCACTTAGGGGACCTAAGAACACAGGGTTTGTGGTCCAAGGCCGAGGTGTCGCTCCACATCAATGTGAAGGAGCTCAGGGCGGTTCGTCTAGCCTGCCAAACCTTTCACGCTACTCTGGAAGGTCACAGAATGACAGTTCTGACAGACAACACCACCGCCGTGTTTTATATAAACAAGCAGGGCGAAGCCTGCTCCTCTCCCCTCTGCCGAGAGGCCCTTCTCCTGTGGGACTTTTGTGTAGCCTGCTCCATCCATCTCATGGCTTCATACCTCCCGGGAAAACGAAACAAGCTAGCGGACAGCCTCAGCAGGTCGTACTGCATGCACGAGTGGTCGATGAGATCGGACATCTTGCAATCAGTCTTCCAGAAGTGGGGGTTTCCCCAAATGGACCTCTTTGCCACCAGGAAAAACAGCCAATGTCCGCAGTTTTGCTCGTTCCAGAACCACAGTCCGGGCTTGGTCGCAGACGCATTTGCGATCCCTTGGAGCGGGACTCTGAAGTATGCCTTTCCTCTGCTCCCGCTCATCCACAGAGTCCTCCTCAAAGTTCACAGGGACAGGGCAATGAAAATTTTGATCGCCCCGGCTTGGCCTCGTCAGCACTGGTTTACAACCCTGCTAGAGCTGTCAGTGGCCACCCCGATTGCCCTGCCCCTGCACCGGGATCTCATCACGCAGGACCACGGGTGCCTGCTCCACCCGGATCTGCATCTAATGGCATGGAAGCTCTCTGGCTAAACGCTATGGAGAGCCAGTGCTCTCTTCCGGTACGACAGATTCTCTTTGGCATTAGGAAACCGTCCACTAGGGCGGCCTACCTAGCCAAGTGGAAAAGATTTTCCTGCTGGTGTGAGCCTAAGCAGATACAGCTACTCCAGGCCACTATTCCAGTTGTCCTAGAATACCTCCTGTACCTCAAGCATCAGGGTCTCGCTCCTTCCTCAATCAGAGTGCATCTAGCTGCCATATCAGTGTTCCACCCGGGGGAATCCGGATGCTCTGTATTTTCTAACCCCATGGTGGTGCGGTTCCTCAAGGGACTGGAGAGAGTGTTCCCCTACTCACGCCTGCCAGTCCCTCCCTGGAACCTTAATCTGGTCCTTTCCATTCGAGCTCCTGGCCTCTTGCTCTCTCCTTCACCTCTCCTGGAACGCGGCGTTCTTGGTGGCCATTACATCAGCGAGGGGGGTATCCGAGTTGAGGGCCCTAACCTCGGAGCCTCCTTATATAGTTTTTGATAAGGACAAAGTGCAACTCAGTCCACACCCTAAATTCCTCCCTAAGATAGTCTCACAATTTCATATGGGACAGGACATTTGTTTGCCAGTGTTCTTTCCTAAACCACACACGGACCCGAGTCATCATAGCCTGCACACTCTGGATGTCCGAAGGCCCTGGCGTTCTATTTAGAGTGAACGAAACCTTTCCGCAAGTCAACACAGTTGTTTGTCGCCGTAGCTGATAGAATGAAATGGCTTCCGGTCTCGGCGCAACGTATATCATCGTGGATTGCGGACTGCGTCCGCGCGTGCTACGAGCTCGCCAAGATTCCAGCCCCGGCAATCACGGCTCACTCGACGAGGGCACAAGCATCCTCAGCAGCTTTTCTGGTACACGTCCCGATCCAGGAGATCTGTAAAGCAGCCACCTGGTCATCAGTGCACAAATTCACAGCCCACTACACAGTCAACCAGCAGGCCAGAGATGACGCGGCGGTTAGCAGGGCTGTTCTTCAATCAATTGCTCCATGACTCCTACCCTCCTCCTATGGTAAGCTTGTGAGTCACCTAATGTGGAATGGACGTGAACAAGAAGAAAAACGGTTACCTACCTTTCGTAACTCTTGTTCTTTGAGATGTGTTGTTCACGTCCATTACACTTCCCACCCTCCTTCCCCTCTGTCAGAGTCTCCAGCAAGAAGGAACTGAAGGGGGGTCGGGTCGGCAGGGGTATATATGCACCAGCTTAGAGGCACCACTCTAGGGGGCTCCCCTGCCAACCCGACGGGAGCTGCTAAGGGAAAAAGTTTCCGACGTCCGTGCACGCACCGCACGCACACCTCATGTGGAATGGATATGAACAACACATCTCGAAGAACAACAGTTACGAAAGGTAGGTAACCGTTTTTTTTCTTTCATATGCATTGGTGCCATTTCAGACCCCACCTTTTATCTTCTATCTCAGGTTGAATTTTACATCTAAAAAATTCTTTGATTGTCTGGACTAAATAATTCTTCCTTTACTTGACAGGGAGAGTATGTGTCCTGTCTCTTGTCTCTGCTTCGTCAGATGTCAGACACTCATTTTCAACATTTACTGGACAACTTCCAGAGCAAGGATGAGCTAAAGGTAGGATATAACTTCATGCTTTTTAGAAGCAGCTATTAAATATTAACCTCAGAAATCAGATACATGACAATGCAGAAAGTGTTTTCACTTATTCTGCTGAACATCCACATTCACTACAGATATAGTCACTATTTGTTTCATATACTTCGTTTATTATTATTAGAGAAAAGGATGGTCCAGTGGTTAGGGCACTAGCCTAGGAGTTGGGAGTCCCTACCTCCAGCCCAGGCTTCCTGTGTGACCTTGAACAAACCACCAAAGGTATGTCTACACTGCAAAGAAAAACCCATGGTGCTGAATCTCAGAGCCTGGGTCAACAGATTTGGGCTTGCAGAACTTGGGCTTCCAGGCTAAAAATAGCAGTTTAGATGTTCCTGCTTGGACTGGAGCCCAGGGTCTGAGACCCTCCCCCTCAGCTCCAGCCCAAGCGTGAATGTCTACACTGCTATTTTTAGCCCTGCTAGCATGAATCTGTCTACCCGCACTGGGAATAACACCTCTCAGCTGCAGTTAGTTAGCACTTCCCTACCTCGTGGCAGTAGTGTGAGGATAAATACATTAAAGATAGCAAGGTGTTCAGATCATATGGTAATAGGGAGCAGATAAATACCTGGGATAGATATCATTATGGTACTTTGTGGAACATAGCCTGAACTACAGACTAGTAGTCTGTACAGACTAGAAAATCCAAAGTAGTTTATTCTGTAACCTATTGAAGGGCATGGAATATACATAGGAGCTCATTTAAGAAAAGGTTTGAAGTTTGTTCTTATGTCAAAAGATAATTATATTCCCAGGCTGACTTTTGCATACCAAGCAGAGAAAAGTCAACAGCAAATTTTTCCTTGGTTTGTTGGAGTATTGGCCAGCCTAATCCACCTGGTATGCTTCGACAAGCACCCCAAATTCCCTTTTGTGAGTGGTGACCTAAATCATAGCTATTAGAGGCCAAGAGAGAGTTGCTTAGTACACAGTTTATGTACCGTCACTGGTGGCTTCCCAACCATCATCTGCTTTGAGGTGTCCATCTCAAAGGGAGAGAAGCCTACCTGTTACCTTCGCATCTTTATGAAGGCAGCATGTCTCAGACCACAGTAAATGGCTCTGAAGTGCAGAATAACTTCAAGAAGCAATACATAAATCTGATGGAAGTAACAGTCATGCTGTCACTTTCCTTTCACAGTATGATGATGGGGTTACATACAAAATGTTTTTGTGGCTAGTGTGACAGCTCAGTAATAGAGTGAATAGTAATACCAAACTGACACCATGGTAGAAACCTGTTAAAACACCGAACAAACAAGGTGGAACAGGATCTGAAGTGCTTTTGGAAGAGGTTGTCAACTTCCAATTATTGTATATACCAATGAAAATGTATCCTGAGAAAGGCTGGGTGGCTCAGAGATATAGACTTTGGGATAACAGAGTCTCTTACCTCTAGGTGGCTAGGTTGAATGGAGCACAAATTGGTAGTGATCTAAAGCTGACTTTTGATGACTTCTTCAATAGTCCACATGATAAGAGTTGGCACTCTTATACTGAGTCTTAAGTAGATATGGAATATACATAAGAGTAGAGCTTGTTGGAAATTTTTGTGGAATTTTTTAACAGAAAATGTTGGTCTCATCATAATTGAAATATTTCTGAAAAAGTTGTCAGTTTTGATCAAATTTCAAAACAAACAAATATCATTTCAGATTTCCAAATTTTGCTTTGGGATTTGAATTTTTGCTTTGGAAATTCCAAAATTTCATTTTGAATTCTATTTTATTTGTACCTGTTTTTATAGTTACATTATTTTACATTATTTTATGTCAGTAGCATTGCACATTATGCACTGTAGCTACTGACTCATAATATTCTATAATAGTTTAAATATTCTATTTTAATATATATTTTATTTTTAAAATCATTAAGGGCAGCTACTAAGATGTTTCAGTCAGTACTAAGAAGCAGCTGCCTTTAATGATATTTACTACATCTACATGTAATGAAATAATATTAAATATAATAAAAATTAAAAAATCAAGTCAAATCAAATTTGAAACAAAGTTTTGAAATTCCGGAACAAAAAACAAGCTTCCAAAACAAAACTGAGAAATCCAAAATGAAATTTCAAAATTAATGTCTTCCAAAACTATTTTGGGGGGTGAGGGGGAAAGAATTTCGGGTAATTAGGAAATTTCAAAAATATTTGTTTTCTACCTGAATCAGAAAAAAGGAATTTTGAATTTCCCACAAACCAGAAATTCGAAGTTTTGACCATCTCTATTGAGGAGTTCACTTAAGAAAAGTTTTGAAGTTGTTCTCACCTGACATCACAAATACCACTATCACAGCTGGCAACCTTCTTGATAGTCTCAGTAAAAAGACCTGTGATTAAATTGGCTATGGAGATAGAGATGGAACTATGTTGGTGTAACAACAATAATGTATACCCCTTGTATGGGTTAAGAGACGATTACTATCATCGTTATATAAAAGTGAAAAATGAGGCAGATAGTGACTTGCTAAGTGATTTATTCAGAGTCAAAAGATAAGTCATTGGCAGAGCCAGGATTTGATCTCAGGAGTTTTTCCTCAATCCTTTGCTCAGGACTACATCACAGACACAGTCTCTCTCTCTCTGAAGTGGTCCTTTTAGAAACAGACAGCTGGGTGGGATGCCTTTAGCAAGTCCTTTCTTCATCATAAATGGGATCTTATATTACCATATTACATAACCTATAAAAGAATTTTTTTTAATTTTATGACAGGGGTGCATAGAACCATGAAAACATACCCTTTTAAATATAAATTAAATAAATAACAATTCCTCCAAAAGGCACACTGGGAACTCAGACCAGAATTCTGCATGACACTATTGAAATGTCATATGGAATAAAGTAAAATGAAGTTCTGCATTGTAAGCTTTAAAATATAGGAGAATGTACCTGCTGAAAACAACTGTATTTGCCTCATTCCCATATATGCTGCTTCCATGTTTTGAGCTATGTAGCGTAGTGACACAGGGATCAAGCAAGGGTAACATAATTAGCTTAATTGTCTTGGCTGTGGCTAGGAAAGTACATTTGCCTACAGCTGCCACTGCTTATTATCCTCTTCTTTCTGTGTATTAGGAGTTCCTGCTGAAGATTTTCTGTGTGTTTCGAAACCTGATGAAGATGAGTGTCTTTCCTCGGGACTGGATGGTGATGAGGTTGCTCACCAGCAAGTGAGTGAGGACATGTTTAAAGCACTGAAAGTTTGTATGAAAACTCTGTGGGTGCTCTAAATTAGGGCTTCTCATCCCAGAGAAACAGTGTGTTTTAGTGGACTGAGGGATGGGACTCCAGGCAGGAACTCCTCCTGAGTACTAATCCTGGTTCTGCAAAGTTACTTAAGCTATCAGGGCCAAATTAGGGCTTTTGTCAATGAATGATCACTTGCATGTACAAGTTTTACATGCTACCAGTGGGCACGCATACTATATAGTTAATACTATAAACTTCTTTTTTTTCCCACAAAAACCAAGTGCAAATAGGCTTCCTGTATGTAAATTCTATCATTTATGCACACAAGTGATAGTGAGCTAAAATGATCTGCCCAAAGTTGGTCACATATGGAGTATATTTACCCCTTTGTACATCTGCCCCTTTGTCTGTTTTCCCATCTGTAAAGTTTAGGTAATTGCTTTGCTTAGGTCCATTGCTTTGAAGATAGGCAACACTCTTTAAGTGTCGAGTAGAACTAGATACCAATTCCAGTTATCTATGACTGTATCCACAAGTACCCCTCAAATCCTTCCCTGACTGAGGGAGGCATGGTTTCCTCTTGCCATGTGATAGATGCACTTCGTCAATAGTCTGAGGTGCAAGGAGTGACAGCCAAAAAGACTGGCTCTGCCATTTCAGCCAAGTTACTGAAATGGAAGGAGCTTCTAAGGAATATATAGCACTTGAATATATAGTGCTTGTGGTCTTAATTTTCCTTTTACCTACATCGTTACCTCTCTGTCTTCATTGTGTCTCAATTTAAAAAACAGCAACAAAACTCACCAAGGAGTTTTCTCGCAGGTTGTGCCTGGTGTACTGCCTTGGGCTACTGCTCCTGGCAGTACCAGCATCCCTACTGGCTCTAAAACTGCTCTTTGGGTGAAAGACCAGAGCAACTCAGCTTAGATCAGTGGTGGACTCAATTTTTTTTAGAAAAGGAGGGGCAGACCACAGTCCTTAAACCAGATGACAAAGCATCAGATTGAAATCATTATTTTTTTGATTATGCAGTTGTCATTTGGGCTTGAATTTATTTAGTTTTATTTTTGCCTTGTCAAGCTTTTTCTGTTGTTTTTAGGAGGTAGCAGCAGCAGGCTGAGAGCCAGGATTATACCCAGAGGCTGGGATTACGTACTAGTGTCTCATTTTATTAGCTAACCTAACTGTAGCATCACAGTTGACTAACTGAACTACTGGAGGGGTCCATATTGCAAGATGATGTCATGGACCTCTTCCTGAAGGCTGATTGGTCAGCTGTGGTGTTGTATGCTCTATGAGTTCACAGTGCTAATGAGAAGTGAAAGAAGTGGCTTTAGATGTTGTAGACCCCCAGGTTACATGCTGTACTGTAGAAAAAGAGAAATCCATGTAAAGTAAAATGACCTGGTTACCTAGATAGCCTGATCCTGCTGGCACCATTTAGCTGGAAATCTCTTCAAGTTGAAATAAAGTGCATTTATCAATGTCACTGAAAGTACCACATGAATGAGATGCTGAGCTTTAGCCTATTACTGTTTTATACCAAAGCAAATTAGACTTTGTTAATTCTTGCATGTTATTACATGATTTATTCCCATTTAATTAAAGGCTTTTATGCACCTACAAAAAAAGTAAGTTTCCCAGTGAACCCAGAGTTTACAAAATATTACCAAAAATGTACAGAGGAGATCAGTTTACAGCAAAGTCCAAAAACTGTAGAGGATTGTGCCTCCCTGAAAAATTCTGCCTTTTTTATTAAAGAAATGCACAGAAACAAAAATAAGTAAGTTATTTTTGTTCCTTTATTTATTAACTGCAGTAATGGACTTTTGAAAATAAACTCAAGAATTACAAAGATACTCTTCCGTTTCCAAAATCTACAATATTTTAGGAAAACATATTTGTGAATTCTGCCTTGCATTATTTAATATGAAGTTTTGTTAAAAAAAAACAACACAGTGACCTTTATGGTGATATCTAGAAATTACTGCATAAAGAAAGAGTGCCAAAATGCATTTTGAAATATAACAGAAACCACCAGTGCTCAGAGCTACTCAAAGACTCTTTGAATGTGATTTGTACTGCAGATTGAAAAGGATCTTTTTTTTAAATTATAGTATCATAGTTACAACAGTCCAGTACCTGTCCTCTGCCCTGCACAAGAACTTCACAGAAACAGACTTTGATTTTAAGGTAAGGTTTGAAATCTGGAAAATTTCATGACATCCTTTAAAACCAGCAGCAATGCAGGAACAGCGGCTACTCTATGTTAATGGATTATGTTCACTATGTTTGTTAGCTCAGAAAATAAACTAGCTGATACAGTCATCAAACTCTGCTGAGGCTTTGACTGAACTGGGAAATCCCAGAAGAGCAAAAGCATTATGAATTCTAAGGGTTTGAAAAGTGAGACCGCTTGCATTGGCTAAAGTCAAGAATGTATAGTGTCTAATGTAATTCAAAGCACACTCTATGGTGTGGTTTAGGGGTATGAAAAAGTGTTCATTAGGAATATTTGAAACTACCAAACTCATTTCACTTTTGGCCTAAGGCAGAGTTGAATTCAGGTGGTGTCGAGAGGTGAAAGGCCTATGTCTGAAGCCCCAGCACTCCCTTGCTGCTGGGTTCTTTTAATTGTCATTCCCTCCAGTATTTGTATAATTCCTGGGACTGATTTAACTTATTTTATTATTACATCTGGTTTATTTAGACATAATTATCTATTTTCCTCTGACTTAAGGTGGAACAACCTGATGCCTTCTGTAAAATGTATGCATGGCATGTATGTTTGTGTTCAGAACTTGTTCTGCCTTTGGACTAACATGTGTTTAATTTCCTTCCTGTTTTCTAGGTGTGGAACTCCTATTTCAGCTTGGCAGTTCTGTTTATAAACCAGCCAAGCCTGCAGCTAGAAACTATCACTCCAGCTAAGAGAAAGAAGATTCTGGACAAGTAAGAATATGATCTCCTTGCCTCCGAAACTCGGATTTTTTCCATCACCTCAAAAGTAGGACATAAGTTTTTATCACAAACTCCCATACATTACAGGCAGTGGGAGGATTTGCCCCAGAAAAATCATAAGTAGAGATCATAGGACAATTATTCAACAATTAGATGAATCCCTTGATGTTCTTAAAAAGTATAACCTTGGTTTACATATTAATTTAATTGCATTAGATCACCAACTTGCTGCATTTTGTCCCATTAAGGGGTTGTGTCTATGCCATCTCTTTCAGATATGGCGACATGCGAGTGATGATGGCATATGAGTTATTCAGCATGTGGCAGAACCTGGGTATGTCTCTCTGTCTCCTGTTCTCTTCCTAATCACCAAAACTAAAGTTGTCTAAGAATTGCATTACTAATATTCAGCTTTGGTGGTGTAAAACCACAGAGCTCATGCTGGGTCTTATAGTTTCTTCAGGAATTTTCAACTAAAAAAAAATGACTTTCTGCATAGATCCATGGTGATATTTTTCTCATTTGAAATAACTCATTTCTATGAATTTGAATACTTTACTCTCAAATCTTGTAGTGACTGGTTTCAACAGCTTTTCTTTGGTATTCCCAGATGATGTACTGCATTAGCATTTGGAAATCCCTGCTATTGTGCTGCAATCTAGTCTAGTATTTGAGATACGCTTGTACACTCTTGACTTTAATCTGGTCTATGTTGGCACAGCTGAAACTAAACGTTTCCAGCTGTGTCCAATTTCATCCATTTGGAAATGGTACAACAGAACAAGTCAGGGTGATGCAGAATTCTAAAAGTGCACAGTTAGCGATCATGTACAGACGTGACATGCAGTAAAGTGCATATTTATGAGTGCTGTATTAATGTGTCTAATAAGCATGGTAACAAATTCTCTGTTACTGGTTTAAAAAAACAAAAGTTTGCCCACAATTATGCAATATTTTTTACACCAGTTGTAATAGACTTACATTTCTGTAAGTCATTTGAATTTGTACCACATGATATTTTGATTAAGACACTGGAATGTTACTAAATCAACACAGCATATATTGAATGTACTAAAACTAGCTAACTGATCGCTCACAAAATGTGATTGTAAATGGGGAATCATAATCAAGCAAGTGTGTTCTTAGTGGAGCCCCTCAGGGATCATTTATTGGCCCTACGCTATTTAACATATTTATATGTCTGGGAAGAGTACATACAATCATTCCTGGTAAAGTTTGTAGATGACACAAAGATTGGGTGAGTAGTAAAAAGAATCTAGGCCTTACTTTTAGGATGGGGGGATTCTGTCCTGGCAAGCAGTGACTCCAAAAAGGACTTGGAGGTCATGGTGGATAATCAGCTGAACAAGATCTCCCAGAGTAAAGCTATGGCCAAAAGCGCTAATGTGTTTCTTGATTATAAAAAAAACAGGGAATGTTGACTAGGAGTAGAGGGGTTATTTTACCTCTATATTTGGCACAGGGGCACTATATTCCAGTAGCGGTTGCACATTTCTGGTTTCCAAAATTCATGAAAGACATTGATATTGGAAAGGATTCAGAGAAGAGCCACAAAAATGATGAGAGGATTGAAAACATGCCATATAGTGAAGAACCCAAGGAGCTCAATCTGTTAGCTTAACAAAGACAATATTAAGGGGTGACTTGATCTCAGTCTATAAGAATCTATGTATGGAACAGGTAACAGAGGGCTCTTCAATCTGGCAGACAAAGATATAACAAGATCTAATAGCTGGAAATTGCAGCTAGACAAATTCACCCTAGAAATAAGGCATAAATTTTTAACAGTGAGGGTATTATCCATTGGAACAACTTACCAAGGGTTGTGGTGGATTCTCCGTCACTGCCAATTTTAAAATCAAGATTGGATGTTTTTCTAAATGATATGGTCTAGTTCAAACAGGAATTAATTCAGGGAAATCCTATGGCCTGTGTTATACATGAGGTTCGATTAGATGATAACAATGGTCCCTTCTGGCCTTCAGGGGTAGGAGGTTTGTATAATTTTTGGTGGTGCCCAGAACGGGTCCAAGTCCCACCTCCCCCCACACACACACACACACACCACACACACCTGCCTAAGGCTCTGAGATGGAGTTTGAGTGCTAGGTGCAGGCTCTGGGCTGGGGCAGGGTGTTGCGGTGCAGGAGGGGGTTTGGAGTGCAGGCTCTAGGAGAGAATTTGGGTACGGGATGGGTGTGGGCTCTGGATGCAGGCTTTGGGCTTGGACAGTGGGTTGGGGTGCAGAAGATGGTGTGGGAGGGGGTGTTGGGGTCCCGAACATTGGTGGAGCCGGGCCCCCCGGGCCCTGAATTTGCTGGAGCCCAGGCACTATAGGCCCATACAACTCGCCGCCCCTGCTGGCTTTATAATCTACAAAATTATGAATTGTGCTTATTTCTGATCTAAATAACATCTTCTGGTTGAAGTGAGCTGGGGTGCAGTGTAGCATCTTATGGCATGTGCCACATCACATTGGCAGGGAATGTATCACATTGACTCCACTGTATTAGTTATGTTAGAAACACACTTTGCTTCTCATTATTTGTCTGAAAAGCAGATAGCAATATTTATGAAATTGTTAACAGGCTTAAACAAATGTCACATGCAGCTTAAAAGACAAAATCCAGTACTTCTAAATTGTAATCATCCGGATCATGATTTTGAGGAACATACCAAACTTTATGCTTCACATACACAATGACAGAAAAGAAATAAGAGTTTTAATATTGCAGAGTTAATGACATATGCTCCCCTAGGGATTAAAGTTACTATCTCTTTAAATCAAAATCATTCTTTTCTGCTTTTCCTGATTTATTTATTTCTCTCTTCCTACCCCTGCCTTTTTGCAATTGTGGGACCACGTAAGAGGCTGATTAATTTACTAGAGGAAAACCTCCAATATGTAGGTGTATGTTGGATTCCCAATTTAACCTGAAAGATAATTTTGGGGAGAAATGATATCTCAAAACAATATTGCCCTATCAGTGTGTTTTGGTTTTTTTTCCAGATAATTTTGTTTTATATACTAAAGTTTCACAGTGGAAGCACACTATAAAAGCAATTGCTAACAATGCTGTATATTCCTGCTACTTAGAGGTGACACTGTTTGGTTCGAAGTCAAGGTTCTTGTCCATTCTATTGCAAATTTCACGCCACTGAGGTTAAGGAGCTCTAAAAAGTCTAAAGGACATGTAGCTGATCCATTAAATACTAGTGCCACAGTTCCTTTGAAAAAGCCCTTTCTTCTTAGGAGCCCGAGCCTCCAAAACAGCAGTGGAATCTCTCAATTTTCTCTGGCAGAATTAATGCATGCTGGCACATAAAGGTGGAGCAGCTATTGAATGAGTTTCCCTGTAGGATCTGCGGTTTCTGCTAAATGTAAAGATTAATTAATGTAAAGATAACCAGGCAGACTTCGCCATGGAAAATGGAAAACTTAAAGTACCATTAATTTGATACTTTTTGGAGAAAGAACCTGTTTGCTTCTTCAAGCTTAATTCGGGGACAGGTTGCATGTTTCTTTACCAAAGAGTCTCACCTTTTTCTCAGCCAGGGCCGGCTCTAGGCACCAGCAGACCAAGCACGTGCTTGAGGCGGCACCTCAGAAGGGGCAGCCAATGTTGGGATGGCGGGGGGGCGCTCGAGGGGGGGTTTTGTTTTTGTTTCGGCCGGGCAGCGCGGGGGTGTTTCGGCGGCGCGGCGCTGGGGGAGCGCAGGGGTTTGGGCGGCCCGGCGCTGCGCGGGGGGGGGTGGCGCAGCGCTCGGGGGGGGGGTTCGGCGGCCCGGCGCAGCGCTGGGGCGGGGGTTTGAGCGGCCTGGCACTCCTGGGATTTGTGCAGCCCGGCCCGGCGCTGGGGGCGGGGGTTTCGGCGGCCCGGCGCAGCGCTCGGGGAGGGGGGGTCAGCGGCGCAGCGCTAGTGGGGGAGGGTGTTACGGCGGGGCGGCACTCTTCTTTTTTGCCTGGGGCGGCAAAAGAGTTAGAGCCGGCCCTGTTCTCAGCAAGGAATGATAAAAAAAGGAAGGCTTTCATTAAATGTAAATTGCTTTGTGTTGCCCAGGTGAACATAAAATTCACTTTATTCCGGGAATGATTGGCCCCTTTCTTGGTGTCACACTGGTCCCACAGACAGAGGTCCGCAACATCATGATCCCCATCTTTCATGACATGATGGACTGGGAGCAGAGGAAAAATGGCAACTTCAAACAGGTGAAATGGTTTTCCAGGCTCTTGCTATATCCTCTATGTTGTTCTTCCCTTCTGTAACACTGTACTAGAAGTACTGCTAGTTTGTTTCTGAATGTGAGGGAGCTGTTGATGTAGATAGATAGATAGATCTTAATTAAAAAGTAACATCCTTTACAACACTGCTACCAAAGTCCCACCATTATATGAACATTTCTATAAGGCATTTTCCAAGTAGCCATTTCTCCTATTAATACAGAACACAGTGTTGTACTCACTGCACAGGGAGCAAGGGAAAGTGGATTCTCCTTCCTAATGGTAAAAACACTGGAAGCTTGCTAAACCATATATGATGAGGTAGGTATTCTAGTGCTTGCAGTAGTTTACTCCTATTCCTGGCCCTGCTGCCAACTTTCTGTATGAGCTTGGGTTAGTCACGTAGCACCAGATTTGTAAAGGTATTTAGATGCCTAAAGATGAATATGAGTGCCTAGTGGAATTTTCAAAAGCATCTAGATGCCTCACTAAAATCAGTGGTAATCAGGCACTATAGGGTCTCCTGAAAACCCACTAGGAGCACATTTGCCTCTTTAGTTGTCTAAATACCTTTAATCTGGCCTTAAGGCTAAATTTTCAAAAAAGTGTCCACTAATTTTCTGTGTCTCAGTTTCTGGATACCTAGCTTGATGCCTGAGGCCTTGTTTTCAGAGTTGCTGAGCACCTGCTGCTCATTGACTTCCTTTGGAATTGTGAGCAAATCAGGCTCTAAATGTCTCAAATTGGGAACTCAAAAGTGAGGCATCTAAAGTTAGTTTCAACATGTTGGCTTTAACCTCTCTGTGCCTCAGTTTTCCCATCTGTACAATGAGTATCATGTGATTAATAAAAATGCATACAGTGCTTTGAAATCTTTGGATGAAATACCCTGTATGGCTTTATGTGCATTGAGACTTTTTAACAATTTTCCTACCATTGGCCTATCAAAAGTGCATCTCCACAGATGCTAGCTACAATGAAAGTGTAGCCTGATGGCTGGTTTTGTGTCTTTTAAAGTATGAGCCCTCTGAGGCATTGTCTTATCTGTGGGACATATCTTGCAAACACTTAAGCACATGCTTGACTTCAAGCCCATGAGTAGACCCATTGATCTCAATATTTACTAATACATGCTTACTCATGATAATAATAATATTTTTAGGGTTTGGTTTATTGTTGTGATTACTATTTACTAACAAAAATCTACACTTTAAAGAAGAGGGGGAAAAAATCAATAAAGGCACATTGCATTGAATGTAAAGAAATACCACTTTACACTCTAAAGGGAATTACCTGCAAAAGGCTACGTTCTCCTCCTTGCTCTTCTTTATGGCAACTGACCCATGTCATATTAAAGTGTATCGTTATGGTCAGAAACTAAACTAAAAATGTGAACCTTGTTAATACACATACCTATTCTCTGTGACTCTTCTGGATCTTAGGCTAGTGGCACAAATAAACATTTTCTGCTCTGAGTACTGCAAAGCCAATATGCTGAAATGGTGGAAGAGCAAATGTATTTTATTCTGTCTCATGATCCATCAGCAAAATTGTCAAGTGAGTTATGATTCCAGAATCTTTGTTAGTGATAGCTAAAGCAAGAAAAAGCACTGCTTAAAGCTTTCCCTAACTTGGCATATTATTATTATGCATCACAATTAAAAAGAGTGATCAGTTGGGTGAACAATAAACCATTCCCCCCTCTCCCCGCTTTGAGCCTTTGGCTTCCTGCTCCCTGCTTCTGCTCTCCTGGAAGGTTTCATTCCTGGTGACAATAACCTCTGCTCGAGATTAGGGCGCTTACCTCAGAGCCTCCCTATACAGTGTTTTACAAAGACAAGGTCCAGCTGTGACCGCACCCAGCTTTCCTGCCCAAGGTAACTTCACAGTTTCATACAAGCCTGGACATATACTTACCTATCTTCTTTCCAAAATCTCATAAGTCAGAAGAGGAGCACAAATTACACTCTCTGGATGTCAGGAGTGCAATAGCCTTTTACATTGAAAGGACCAAGCTATTCCGTAAGTCAACACAGTTGTTCGTCGCGGTGGCGGACAAGATGAAAAGTTTTCCAGTGTCCGCCCAGAGAATTTCATCATGGATCACCACCTGCATCCGTTTCTGCTATGATCTGGTGAAAGTGCTTCCACCGGTGATTGTAACCGCCCACTCGACTAGGGCACAAGCCTCGGCAGCAGCCTTCCTGGCCCAAGTGCCAATTCAAGATATCTGCAGGGCCACTGCTTGGTCGTCCATCCACACATTTACATCTCATTACGCACTTACCCAGCAGGTTCATGCCGATGCTGGTTTTGGTAGACCAGTGTTGCAAGCCGCACAACTGTGAACTCCAGGGATACTGCCTATGAGTCACCTAGGCCTGGTCTACACTGAGGGGGGTGGGATCGATCTAAGTTATGCAACTTCAGCTACCTGAATAACGTAGCTGAAGTTGACGTCCTTAGATCTACTTACCGCGGTGTCTTCACTGCGGTAGGTCGACTGCTGACGTTCCCCCATCAACTCTGCCTACACTTCTCGCTCCGGTGGAGTACCAGAGTCAACGGGACAGCGCTCGGCAGTCGATTTATCGCATCTTCACTAGACGCAATAAGTCAACCCCCACTGGATCAATCGCTCCGGAGGTAAGTGTAGACATGCCCCTAGAATGGAATTGACATGAGCAAGCACTCAAAGAAGAAAAACAAACAAACAGTTACCTACCTTTTGTAACTGTTGTTCTTTGAGATGTGTTGTTCATGTCCATTCCATTATCTGACCTCCTACCCCTCTGTCGGAGTTGCCGGCAAGAAGGAAATGAGAGGGCATAGGGCCGGCGTACCTCGCCAATAGATTAGCGCAGACCCTCTGAGGCACGCGCCTTGCTGCAAGAACTCCGGGACCAGCCCCGATCCCAGGACCGATCAGACACGAGAGACTGCCGATCGCCGGGCCGTCATGGCCCATCTCCAAAAGGAAGGTTGCCCTACTTAGGATGATCCTCCCGGCAACCGGCCTGTAGTAACTCCCAGTCCCGTTCGGGTTGTCCACCGAGGCCCAGCAGTCTATGCAGTACCTGCCCTTCGACAGCCGGGCCCTATTTGCAGAGCAAACAGACAGCAAATTGCATGGCCTCAAGGACTCCCACACCACCCTGAAAACCCTGGGTCTCTAAATCCCAGCCCCGGCGTGTAAGCAGTTCAAACCGCAGTAGCCACAGGGCCAGGGGAGCCACCCTTGGCAGGACCAGCCCCATAAATGAGCCAAGGGTTACAAGCGCTGCCCGAGCCACCGGCCTCCACCCTCTGTCCAGTCGGGCTCGACCCATAATAAGCAGGGGGCCAAACGGTCATTTTGAGGGTGCACCTGAGGGCGACCTACCAGACTATTCCCCAGATCCATCTTTCCCAGTGTTCTCCTACCGCCTTTCCCTCTTCCTCCCTGCCTGGACGGCTATAATCTCGGACATAAGGGTCCTCAGCACTGTGGAACAGGGTTATACCCTCCAGTTCCTTTCTATCCCCCACCTTCCCACCTGCCTTCCCCGTCCCTCTTCAGAGACCCGTCTCATGAGAGTCTGCTCGCGCAGAAGGTAAAGGGGTTGCTACAGCTGGATGTGGTGGAAGAAGTTCCTCTCGAGCACAGGAACAAGGGGTTCTATTCCTGGTACTTTTTAATCCCAAAGGCCGAGGGTGGTCTATGGCCCATCTTGGACCTGCAAGACTTCAACAGGTACTTAAAGAAGCTAAAGTTCCGCATGGCCTCTCTAGCTTCTATTATCCCCTCCCTGGATCCGGGAGACTGGTATGCCGCCCTCGACTCGAAGGACGCATACTTCCATATAGTGATCTTTCAAGGACACAGATGCTTCCTTCGGTTTACGGTGGGGCCCCACCACTACCAGTTTGCGGTCCTCCCATTTGGCCTGGCAACAGCACCGAGGGTGTTCACCAAGTTCATGTTGGTGGCAGGGCCAGCTCTAGGCACCAGCAAAACAAGCTGGTGCTTGGGGTGGCACATTTTTAGGGGCGGCATGGCCGGCGCCAGAATGCCGCCCCTAAAAATGTGCCCCGGCCGCCCTAGCTCACCTCCGCTGCTGCTGCCACGGCGCATGAAACAGCTGATTCGTGCGCCGCTACTCGCCCTCCCTCCCAGGCTCTCAAGCTGTTTCGCGCGCCGCGGCGGCTCGGGGTCTCCCCCTCCCTCCCAGGCTCTCAAACCTGGGAGGGAGGGGGAGACTCCGAGTGGCCGCGGCGCGGGCGCCGCTTCTCCCCCTCCCTCCCTCCCTCCCTCCTAGGCTTGAGAGCCTGGGGGAAGGAGGCAGGGCTGGGGATTTGGGGAAGGGGCGGAGTTGAGGCGGGGTGGGGGGGGGGCAAAATTGTTTTTGCCTTGGGCGGCAAAAATCCTAGAGCCAGCCCTGGTTGGTGGTAACAGCTTACCTCAGGCGCCGAGGTATCCAGATCTACCCCTACCTCGATGACTGGCTCGTCAAGGGCAGCTCCAGGTCTCAAGTCCAAAGGGATGTCGCGGTGCTTCACTATATGCCCTCTCTGGGTCTACTAGTAAAAGACAAAAAGTCGATGTTAGTGCCAGTGCAGAGGATAGAGTTCATCAGAGCATTCCTCAACTCGACCTGCACCAGGGTGTTCCTGCCACTGGAAAGGTTCCACGCGTTGACGAACCACATCGTGGAAATCTCTGCATTCCCTCTGACTACAGCCAGGAGGATCTGTCTGCACCTGCTGGGCCACATGGCAGCATGCACTTATGTGGTCTGCCATGACTGGCTCTGAATGCGGCCCCTGCAACAGTGGCTGGCGATGGTCTATTCCTAGTCCCGAGACCTCCTGGAAAAGATCATTACTCTTCCCCAGACGATTTTTACCTCGCTGTGGTGGTGGACCAACCGCAGAACAGTCCTGGAAGGTGTTCTGTTCGACAACCCTCCCCACTCCATCGAGTTGGTGTCAGATGCTTCGGACCTCGGCAGGGGGGCGCATATCGGTGTCCTCCAGACTCGGGATGTGGTCCCCGGATGAAGCATACTTACACATAAACATCGAAGAGCTCTGAGCAGTCCGGCTGACATGCGGAGTCTTGCCCCACCTGTCAAGCAAGTTGGTACGAGTCCTGACAGACAACACAGCCTCAATGTTCTACATCAACAGGCAAGGGGGAGCTTCCTCATCGGCTCTCTATCAGGAGGCACTCTGTCTATGGGACTTCTGCATCAGCCACGAGATCCACCTGGAAGCTTGTCACCTTCCCAGCATCAGAATTACGCTGGCGGACCAGCTCAGCAGGGCTTCTCCTCTCACCACAAGTGATCACTCCATCCAGAGGTAGCCTGCATGATCTTCCAAAGGTGGGGAACTCCCCAAGTGGACCTGTTCGCTACCAGACAGAACAGGAATTGCCACTGGTTTTTTTCTCGGCAAGGTCTGAGCAATGGCTCCCTCTCCAACGCCTTCCTCCTGTCGTGGTCAGGGAGCCTGCCCCTACGCGTTCCCTCTGATTCTACTCATCAGCAGGGCCCTGGCAAAGATCAAGAGAGACAAGGCGCAGGTCGTCATGATCGCCCCGATGTGGCCTCGCCAGCATTGGTTCAGCATGCTTATGAGCCTGTCAGTGGCCCCTCCCTGGCCCCTGCCCAACTGACCGGACTTGCTGTCACAGGACCACGGTCGACTCCTGTACCCCAACCTCACATCCCTCCACTTCTCAGCATGGATGCTGCATGGCTGAACCCGGAGGAGCAGACCTGTTCAGAAGGAGTCCAACAGGTCCTCCTGGAAAGTAGGAAGCTCTCAATTAGACTGACTTACCTGGCCAAGTGGACGAGGGGTTCCGCCGCCGCCAATTGTCACAGCCCACTCAGTGAGAGGGCAGGCGTCTTTGTCGGCCTTCCTGGCTCACATCCCTATCCAGGACATCTGTAGAGCCGCAATGTGGTCCTCAGTTCACACGTTTACCACTCATTATGCCATCACTCAGCAGGCCAGGGACGACGCTGTTTCAGCAGAGCTGTGTTGTAATCTACACGTCAGTGAACTTCTACCCACCTCCAGGGGTACTGCTTGGGAGTCACCTAATATGGAATGGACATGAACAAGCACTCAAAGAAGAAAAGACAGTTACCTTTTCTGTAACTGGTGTTCTTCGAAATGTGTTGCTTATGTCCATTCCATGACCCACCCTCCTTCCCCACTGTCGGAGTTTCTGGCAAGAAGGAACTGAGGATCGGGGGAGCCAGTGGCACCCCTTATACCGCGCCATGCGGGCTCCACTCCAGAGGGTGCCAGAGCCGGTCCCCTATGGATACTATTGAGGGAAAAACTTGCAGAACCAGTGCATGTGGTGAGCACACACATCTAATATGGAATGGACATGAGCAATACATCTCGAAGAACACCAGTTACGGAAAAGGTAACTGTCTTTTACGAAAGGTAAGTAACCAGTTTTTTTCCCCTCTCACTGACAGGTAGGACAGGGTAAGATTCTACTTGATACATTCGTTTATAGAAAATCCATATCTAGGTATTGATAAAAACAAAGAAAGTGGATGACAAGGACTCCTGTAAGAAACAAAAAAGCCAATCTCCACAGGGAAGCCCATTTTACCCCTCTGCTCAGCAAGAGGATAATTGAGCTCTGTAGTCCACCTCTTCCACTGACCCATATGAGGCCAGTTGTTTCACTGAATCCACTGAGCCATTGTTTTGTAGATTTGAAAGGGGTCTATTTAATTACAGATGCTTTTTTATATCAGGACAGAAATCATCCATCCATAAAATCAGGCAACTTGCAGAGCATAAGAAATTATCCATGAAACACAATCTCAGCCTTCTTGATGTTTGAAATTTACCTTCTCTGCAAACACAGTTAATTTCTAACCCATCATTTCTCCCTGATCCAGGTGGAAGCTGAATTGATTGATAAGCTGGACAGCTTGGTATCAGAAGGAAAAGGAGATGAGAACTACAGGGAGCTCTTCAGTCTACTGTAAGCAATGCCAGTCTCCCTTCATCTTGCATGTTACAAGGTCACCTTAGAAGGCTTGGTGAAATTTCAATGTAATGATCCATTGTAAAGTACCAGTAACGGAAGTGGCCTCCCTCAGAACACAGTAATGTACAGGGACTTTTGACAGGTTATCATGACATGAGCCACAAATCAGAGAGAAGGCTATGGAAAAGCTTGCCATCCCTTTTACACTGACAAGAATATAAAAATATATTTTTGTATCTTTCATGCAATAAAATCTAGTATTGATGCTGCATAGGTTACAGTATCCAGTGTGCCAAGTGATTTCCACGTTCCTATCACAGACACACTAGACGAGCCAGTTTTCAGCTTTGTGACATCACTGTGTGAAATCATAGTCTTCAGACTGTTCAGAGAGCCAGCTAAACCATTAAGCAGTTCAAACCTGTTTTGGGGCATCTAGGATTTCCCTCCCTTTTCTCCCTTTGCTTACCTTGCTCTTGAAAGTCATACATTAATTGAAAGTTGGAAACTGCTCCCTCCAAAGCCTGTCAGTTCACAACATTTCCAGTCCCTTCCAACCCAAGAAACAATAATGATAGTAGGAGGCTAACCTGAAATCTCAAGATCTGACCCTCCCACATTGTTGGTGCTGAGCTGTGCGTCCAAGTCTGATTTTCAAATGCCTCCCTTGTTGGATGCTGATCTTGGTTTGAAGGCATATATTGTGACCCACTCTGATCTCCACTGAGTTAAATCTTGACTCTTTAATTGATCCAGTGGTTCCTCTGAGATCAGTAACAGAATACAGGGCAAATTTTCAAAAGGATCTCAATCCAGTCTCCGTTTATGTGCATGCAGCTTGATGTATACAAACATCTACATGCATTTTTGGTGCACCAACACCTCTGGATGGAAATTATAGAATTTACTTGTTCACACCCATCATTTTGGGTATGCAGGTAAATCTATAACCTGTGCACCTTTATGTTAATACACAGAAAGTATGCACTTGTATTTGAGTGCACACAAATGGAAACCACTTTTTGGAAGTTTGGCTCCATCAGTGTACATGCAAAAATGGCAAATACATTTGAAAAGAAAATAATGGAAAATTCATTTTTCTTTTTATTTACCTGGCAAGAACTATGTTCTGTGTTTCCCTTGCTTCGGCGGATGATATCTCTGATAACAGTTGTGATGCAAGATGTTGAACTGGGATTGCTCATTAGAGACCAGAATTTAACAGTTTAACTGAGGAGATAAAATGTGTTACAGTGGGTTTAGGCTCCTTCCCAATCACAGCTTTCCATTGCTATAAGCAGCTACCATTAGCAGCTTGGGAACTAATTTTTGTTACATGCAGTGTTCTCTTTCCTATGTTTGAAACAGTATTGTGATGGGAAATTTTACCTTTTGCTGCCAATTCCATCTTTTCTTGTCTTTGCTTCATGCTGCATGGAGTAGAACCCAGCTCTTTGGGCCCTACCCCAGGTAAGACTGTAATTCTGTCAGTCTTCTGTATGAGAGAGAAAGAAAGTTGCTCCTGGCTCCCTCCAGGATCTATACCGTTTCCAGGAAAGCCTCATATGCTGCCTCTTCATTTCCAAACAGCCTGCTGGAGAAGATTGAACAAGAGACATGGCGGGAGACTGGCGTCTCTTTTGTTACATCAGTTACTCGCCTCATGGAGCGTCTCCTTGACTACAGGTATCTGGTCACAGCAGTAAAGTGTTCTGAGTATAAGTATTCTAGCATTCTACAAGAAGGGTGTACAGAATTAGTAATGCACCAAATTCTTTTTGTATGGAGAACTGTTTTGTATTGGTTTTAAAGCAGTCAGTTAATTCGGTGCTGTGGAGTAACGTGAGTGCAACCATTACACAGAACTGTTGGTTTCTGAATTAAGACAGTGGATGTACATGTTCTCATTTACTTCTTGTTCATTCTTGATAAATTGTCAGAATGAAGAAACTGGTGTTTAGTTTACTTGATGATGAGGCTAAAGGACTATAGAACTGTTAGAAGTTATTAATTTGACTCTCTTCTTAGAATATTTGGCCCTGATTCATCAAATCTAACACAATACCTTCTAACTCAGCTAAAGGAGACTTTTTTAAAAAGCAAGGCCCCATGTATTCCATGTCTCAGTGACCATGGAAGCGGATAGTGTTCATTAATCTCAACTTTCATTTATTTAAAAAAAAAGTTTCTAACCTTAATGGTTGTAAAGAAAATCTTGAAAGTGTGAACAGAACATAAACAGATGTAATGAAACAGTAGTGAACTGTCCCATTCATCTCAGTGGACTGTTATCTCTGGAACTTAAAGACAACAGTTTAATAATTGGCTGTTTTGCTGTTGATCATTGTAACAGAAATATTTGGTCAATGTGCTTTATTCAACAATCTCAAATAATTTCCCATGCTCATGTGCCAGAAGCCTCAGTTGTCCCCACCACATGACAAAACCTCCAGTTCTTCTTCGAGTGATTGCGCATATCGATTCCAATTAGGTGTGCGTGCGCTGCATGCACAGTTGTGGGAAAGTTTTTCCCCTAGCAGCACCCGTCGAGTCGACTATGGAGCCCCCTGGAGTGGCGCCTTCATGGCGCTCAATATATGACCCGGCAAATCTGGCGCCTCCTCAGTTCCTTCTTACTGCCAGTGATGGTTGTTGGAACTGTGGCATCTTGCTCAGGAAGTTCTACCACATTTCCCTAGCTTTGTTTGTGTTCTCTATACTTATTAGTTAGTTCTTAGGTAGTAGTTAGCAGTTGGGCTGGGGGGGGGAGGTTACCCTCTATCCCGACCACTTTTCCTTGGGAGGGCTTACATGCCCAAGACCCAGGGGTTCAAGCCCTGCAAGTCCTGCAGCAAGCCCATGCCAACGGGCGACCCCCATGACGCTTGTCTAAAGTTTCTGAGGGAGGCTCACCAAGACGACAGGTGCAGGATATGTAAGGGGTTTCGCCCCAGAACCAAAAAGGAGCGAGACTTTCACCTCAAACAGCTCCTTATGGAGGAGGCACTTAGACCAGAGCCTCCACTGGCACGGCAAGACCCGGCGCCGAGTTCATCGGGGCGTAGCGCCCCGGTGACAATGGTGGAAGCGACACTGCGGAAGGACACTGGCAGACACCTGCGGCACCGAAACCGGCAGGGTCAATCCAGCACTGCTCCCGCTCCCTGGCGCAGAAGCGGCACCAGAAGCAAGGGAGGAGCAGCTCTCTGTCCCAGAGGTTCACCCCTCTAGAGCCGGCCAATGGGGCGTGTCCTCAAGAGGAGTACCCAGCGCTGAAGTCTGAGGAGATGGCACCCTCGACTTCGGCCCTGCAAGGGGGACCATCGAGTCCAATGCTGTCAGAGTCTTCGGCCCAGTCATCAAGGAGGTGGAACTGCCATCCACCCCAGACACCTTTGAGGTTGCGAGAGACCTCATCACTATGACAGTGTCATATGGCACCGTCTCGAGGCAAACTGGTGATGCTCCATCCCTTGGCCCCGCTACTACAATCGCAGCACAGCTCAGACTCCCAGCGCCGCTCGCAATCACGGCACCGGTTGGACTCGCAGCACCGGTCCAGGTCACGCCAGCGCTTCCGCTCGCGACACTGGTCTGCACATCGATCCGTATCGTGCAGCGGGTCCCACTTCCAGCACCAGTCCCGGCGCCACTCAGCAACCCCACACATCTCCAGATCGCGATGCTATTCCAACCTCGCGGTACCGTTCTCCAGCCTTGTAGCACCACTCTCTGGCATTGGAACACCACTCCCCAGTGCGGCGCTGCTTGCAGGATCAGCTCCGCTTGGCACCACCCTTGCCACAGCGTTCCCAATCCCGGTCTTTGGACTTGGAGACTGGATCTAGATACTCAGAGCAGGGTCGGCACCGGTTGGGCCATGGATGCTCTGAGGTGGAGGCAAGGCCATGGCCTGCTCAGTGGCAGGGACCAGTGCAGTGGCCATTTTGGACCCCATGGGTGTACTACAAGTGCAGGGCGCCCAGTCTAAAGGCTCCCAATCGGCCACCTCTGAACCATGGGTGCCAGAGGCTTCCACCAGTCGTCCCACCCCTAGGGGTGGCTAGGAGGTGCCGTGCCCATATCCCTCCCATGGAACCAACTCCAATTCCTGAGCAGGACTGTGGTCTACCTGGTCCAGCCAGCGAGACAGGACGGGAGGTCCCTGACAAGCAGGAGAGACAGGAGGACCCTGTTCCCTGATTAGCCTCCTCGTCCTCCTCTCCAGATGCGGCTGTTGCAGGCACTTCTGTCTCTGGACGGACCCCCATAGACAGCTGCGCCCACCAGGACCTCTTTCACAGGATGGCGCACAACATGGGTCGGCAGGCCAAGGAGGTGATGGAGTTGGAGGACCCAATGGTCGACATCTTGGCCCTGGAAGGTCCTTTGAGGGTGGCTCTGCCCCTCATCAAGACCATACAGGCCAATGCCAAGACCATCTGGCAGACCCCAGCCTCCATCCATCCCACCGCCAAGGGCGTTGAGAGGAAATACTTCATCCATCAACGGGGTACGAATACCTCTTCACGCACCCGCAGCCTTGTTCATTGTTGGTTGCGGTAGTGAATGAGAATGAGAGGCAGGGGCAACAAGCCTCAGCACCTAAGTCCAAGGACACCAAGCTCCGCGGGGCGGGGGGGCTGCAACTCAGGATTGCCAATCAGCAGGCAGTTCTGAGCTGGTATAGTTTCATCTCCTGGAACTCGATGCTCAAATTCAAGGAGCTGGTGCCAACAGAGTCCAGGGAGGAGTTTGGCGCAATGGTGGAGGAAGGCAAGGCAGTGGAATTGGCCTCTTTACAGTCCTCACTAGATGTTGCGGACTCTGTGGTGGGCACCTTGTCCTCCGGTATCACCATGAGGTGTAGCTCCTGGTTGCAGACCTCAGGCCTTCTGCCCGAGGTTCAACAGACGATGCAGAACCTGCCTTTTGATGGGGCGGGCCTGTTTGTGGAGCAGACTGACTCTCAGCTGCATAGCCTAAAATACTCAAGGGCTACTATGAAATCTTTGGGTATGCACACCCCGGCAACCCAATGCAAACATTTCAAGCCCCAGCAGCAGCAGCAGCGCTCCTATCCTCCTCGGCTGAGGCAGGACTTTTACAGGAAAAGGTGCACGAATGGCAGAAGGAAGCCTTCCAACCCCCCTTCTGGGTAGGGCCAGGGCCCGACGAAACCATCGTTGGGTTCCAAGCAGGCCTTTTGAAGGGGCGCCCAAGGATGGTGCACCAGCCTCGATTCCAGATCCTTCCCCGTCTTTTTTTAATCGTCTGTCCCACTTCTACCGTGCTTGGTCCCAAATAACTTCGGACCGCTGGGTCCTCCATACGGTGGAAGTGGGATATTTTCTCCAGTTCTGCTCCTACCCTCCCTCTCACCCCTCTTCCCCATCCCTCTTCAGGGACCCTTCTCATGAGCATCTCCTTATCCAGGAGGTGTAGGTGCTCCTCACCATGGGAGCAGTGGAGGAGGTTCCTCAGGAGTTAAGGGGCAAGGGATTCTATTCCTGATACTTTCTAATCCCCAAGGCCAAGGGGGGGTCTCAGACCCATTCTAGATCTGCGCAGACTCAACAAATTCATGGTAAAGTTGAAGTTCCGCATGGTCTCCCTGGGCACCATTATCCCGTCCCTGGATCGGATCTGGGAGACTGGTATGCCGTCCACGACATGAAGGACGCGTATTTCCATATAGCGATTCGTCCCACACACCAGCGCTTCCTATGCTTCGTGGTCAACCACAAGCATTACCAATTCACTGTCCTACCATTCGGCCTCTCAACAGTCCCCCGAGTGTTCACCAAGTGCATGTCGGTCGTGGCTGCTTTCCTCTGTTGACAGCAGGTGCAGATATACCCCTATCTCGACGACTGGCTGCTCAAGGACCACACCAGGGGGCAGGTGCAGTCCCAAATCCATTTGGTCAGGTATACGTTTGAGCGACTGGGTCTCCTCTTCAACTTGGGGAAGTCGACCTTGGAACCGACCCAAAGAATAGAATTCATTGGGGCGGTGTTACATTCGGTTCAGATACGAGCACTTCTGCCAGAGACCCAATTCCGAGCCATCATAGACATAATTCAAAGCCTCCCGCAAATCCCAAGCACAATAGCAAGGGGGTGCCTGAGTCTCCTCAGCCACGTGGCCACTTGAACTTATGTGACCCAGCACTCCAGGCTGCAGCTCAGACCGTTGCAGCCATGGCTCACCTCAGCCTACTGCCCGGGGCGCAACAGCTTGAATTCAGTGGTCATGGTGCCAGGGCAGGTCCTCACGTTCCTCCACTGGTGGCTCAACCCTCAAGCAATGTGCGAAGGAGTCCCCTTCCATAGCCCTCAGCCTTCCTTGACCCTGGTTAGGGCCGCATCAGCTCTGGGATGGGATGTGCATCTGGGAGACCTCCAGACATAGGGCCTGTAGTCGCAGGATGAGCTCTCCCTTATATCAACATCAAAGATCTGAGGGCAGTGTGCCTAGCCTGCCAGGCCTTTCAGGCCTGACTACAAGGCCAATCCATAGCAGTTCTAACGGACAACACCATCGCCATGTTTTACATCAACAAGCAGGGTGGAGCCCGTTCCTCTCCCCTGTGCCAGGAGGCCCTCCAGCTGTGGGAGTTCTGCGTAGTCCACTCCATTCACCTGGAAGCATCCTTTCTACCAGGAGTTCAGAACATGCTGGCA